ATAGTATTATTTATAAATTATTATATTAAATAAAAAATATTTATTATGATTTTGAATTGAAACTACAGTCCATATCAACTATAACGACGGTCAAAGAACTGTAAAATATATGTCGTTATAACCAATATTATTTTTTATTTTTATTAAGAGGCCGTTCTGGTAGCAAAGTATGATCGTAATAACATGCTTTTGTATTTTGTATTTTTCTTAGCCCACGTTAGTCGTAGAACCATGATTTCTTTACAAAAATAAACTTGAGAAGTTCATCTAGATAACTACGTATCAGATTTTCGATTTTTTTTTTGTTTTCAAACTTAAGATACGCATTTTAAATTTTCAAAATTTTCATAATGTTTAAAAAAATATATAAAAAATATAGTAAAAGATATCGAAAATCTGATACATAGTTATCTAGAACAACTTCTCAAGTTTATTTTGGTGAATAAATCATGTTTCTACGACTAACGAGGGCTGAGGAAAATGGGAATTACAAAAACATGTTTTTGGCAAGTAAAGTTAAAAATGTACAGTCGTCAAGTGCTGCTCTGCTAATTATAGCGGCAACGTTCGAAAACAGTGTTTATACCACCACCCCGCGCTCGAGTGTAACCATACTACACAATAGGTCAAAACTGGTTTTTATATCGCGACTGGGCCACTTGCCGTTTATAAATAATTATAAATAGTCAATACGATAACACTCATGTTCATGACAGAATATTTGTTTTATATTTTCATAATAACGATATAGAATTTTATGCTTATATTATTATTCTGTTCAACCTATTTTACAAAAATTAAAAACCTCTAAACATAAAATTGTTATAAATCGTTTACAAATAATCAATTCTAAAAATTATTTTTTTAAACTTGTAGAGAATTTGACTACAAATTTAATTTTTTCAATTTTGAACAAGAAAATATGAAATTTAAATCGGTATAACAAAAATACACTAGGCACATACGAGTAATAAATTACCCAATGATAGTCAGTTGAATAAGGTGACCAGCGTAATAAATGTAGGTACAACCTAATTGGATAACTTTTAATGATTTACACAATATGTCCTTAATTATAATATGAGTTTTTTATATAAAGCAGTTAAATATTGTTTTTTTTTTTTTCTTAGATTGTTTAGTACCTACATAATATATTATATTCTATTGCAGATTATTTATTTATTGATTCATTATACACAAATGTGTTGATACAAATTAGTATAGGTAGATAACAATAAAATACATTTCATACAATATATTTGTTAAAAATAACTATTTATATTTGATAATGAATGAGAAGAACATGATAAATCGTCAAATTGTGTATAATATTAAGTCTATGTAATATCTAAAAAAATATATTATAATATGATAATAGTAGGTAATAATTTTTATAATTACACTTATAAATTAGGCGCGGTCTATCATTGTATAGGTAGGTACTAATTATTTGAATCGATATTTAGAAACAGTTATAACCACGTATAAAAACTGAAGAATTGCATAGATTTGTACAGATTTTTTTTTTAATATATGAATATTATGAATCCAAAAGTTTAGTAATCTGTAAAACATTAGGTTATTATAGCAATTAGGTACTCTGCTTAAATTAAATTCATAATTTCTGTCATTCAAATCATATACGACGTCGTTAGACAACATTGAATTATTTTCAATAATATTAAAATATAAGATGAGATAATGTTTTAAAGTTATATATTATATGGTACTATAAATTATCATTTCAATAAATATTTAATTATACATAATGATATATAAATATCAGTAGCAGTTCTTAGTGTCGTTAATGTTGTTTCAAATTTCGAGCTCAACGAATGAAAATATCAATATTTATCCAAATTAGCCGCATGAAATGGTTTTTGAACTATGAAAACAAAAAAATATTTTTTTTTTTATTTGAAAATTAAGTAATAAAAATATTTGTATCAAATGTATTCATTAACATATTGATTTATTTAATTTGTATACAAATAAATTTTATTTGTGACCATAAATTGTTACAATTGGCTATTTATCACCGTAAAATCACTAGAAGCTAAGTCTGTAAAATATTTACATAGGTTATGTTATATTACATATTTTATTTTATTATTTTACACGTAATAGTTATGAAATTTTTACATCGATAATAATAGGTATTTACATATGACATTTAATTCAATAAATACATATTACATATTAGTTAATCATTGTCTATGAACACTAGTACCTACTATAAATTTAAGTTATCAATTATAAAAATTGTCTAAATGTTGTGTTTGGATTATTAATTATTATATATCAACTAAATATGTTCTGTACATTTGTACAGTACCTACATTTTTTAATTATTTTTTATTTGTATAGATCATAATATGATCATGTTTGTATACAGATTGATTTTCACATAGACACTGCAAATTGCCATGATTAAATAATATGAAGAATAACATTATTATAATATTTATTTAATATTCATTATGTATAACAATCAACTTCCTATAAGTATTATGTTAAAAAAAAAAATGTACTAAAATGGGTATATCAAACTATCGTACGAAAAGTACTTCAGGTCACTTATAAGTTATAACGTAAAAAACGCAACACATTTATTAAAAAAACTATTTAATAGCAATGAAATGATTATTTTACCTGTATTTTAAAAAGTAGTTGGGTTAGAAATATATATCAAGTTATAAAGTATAATAATTTGTATGCTTTATTTATTGGTTAATATTTTTTAAGCAAACAGGAGCTTAAATTAATAAATAGCTTGCGACTTGATAGTTAAGAGTCACGTATCGTGCGCTAGACTATATCAAGTCATACAGCCAATATGTATATATATTATTTTATTATAACTTAGAATTTGAAATATTGTTTACATAAATAATTTTTTAAAATACAATTTATGTAATGAAGAAAAAAATTAAAAATTACACAACTATTTTAAGAAGTCAGTGGTTTTTAGCTATCTTGATTTATCATTTAATAGCATATTTTGTATGAGTTCTAATAAATTAAAATTTTGATTCAAGTCAATATTATTTACTAATGAAAAATTAATAATATTTTCTACTGATTAATATGCTTCGTCTACAGAGGATCATTTGTGAAAATAATAATATACAGTTGTTATATATGATTAAAATGTGCGTTGCGGTCCGATTTTTAAGTCGTATTAGCTGATATTGTCGTTACATTCAATATCATTATAACCAGTTTTTTTGTACCTGTAAATAAACAGAATTTTACCGGATCTCTAAAATCAACGTCATTATACTTCATATATCGTTATAACCGGCGTCGTTATGGATGGTACCGACTGTAATTATTTTTAATTTTTTAATTTTTTTTTTAAAAACTCAATACAAATGAATTACTTAAAAATATCACATCAAGTCCTCTTGTGAATAATTTTTCAATTTATATGATTTATTATTATTTCAAAACGCACACTACACGGAATAGCTATTTTTTTTTTATCCTTCTTCCAAACTAAAATACTTTTCTTCCGACCACATATGATTATATAATCATTTTGCTTCAATGTTTGAGCTTAGATGAACTCTTGCAATGACTCGCAAAACTGAAAGACAATCGTTTTATTTAATTTTATTAAAATTTGGCAATAATTAACATTCCCATAAAATGAAATAAAGTTAATCTCGTTTAGATATCGTACATACGGAATTAAGCTTTAAAATAACTATATTGTTATAATTAATTTTGTTGCACAATAGTACTCTTACATGTAGTGTGAACGGATGTGTTATCTGATGAATAAAGAAGTGTCATTATTGTTTAAATTTAAAATCGCCTTGACTGGTCTGAAATATCTGAAAAGGAGTATATATACGATGGCTTCATGCTTCCATATTTGTACGTGGTTAGGTTCAGGAGTAGACCTAGCGGGGGGTTCAGGAGGTCAATTGACCCACAATTAATATTTGTTGAAAAAATCGGCCTCTTAAGACTTTTTATATTTGTATAATTGTGTGCCGACTATAGGTCGAAATTTATACTAGACTGTACAAATAGTTATTTTGTTGCCATTCCAGTTGCCATACCCCAAATGACCCCACTAGTTTAATTGTGTAATACAGTAAAATATCTCTAAGAGATATTACAATCAAATATTACATATATTTAATTATTACAATAGATATTACAAAAATTAAGAGATAATACAAGACTCCATAAAATAAAATTAATGTGAATGTTTTCACTGAAAATTATAAATTAACTTAAATATACATATTGTATGATCTTATAGTTTTTTATTTTTTTGTTACAAGGTTACATTTATGATCCAGTTTTCGCCTTAATAAATGGTCTCTTGAAAATAGCTTGACTCACAGTACTCTAACTGTGAATCCACCCTTGGTTTGGTTCATGTCATGTCGCCACAGACTAATAAATAAATAAAAATAACACATTCTGCTTATACGAGCCTCTTAGATATGTGTATGCAAATTCATATATATAATATATAGATATAAAATAGTACAAGAATCAGCAGGTATCATGGCAGTCGGAGAAAGCTATCTTAGCCTGTGTTATTATGATGCCAGTTTGCTGTTTAAGCGCGAGTATTTTGGTATTCTTTTCATGTTATCCTTTATGAAAGACTGACTATTTTAATATTGTGATCCAACAGGGATCCGATCTGGTACCTGGTTTTCTCAGCGAATGGTGGACAATTTTTAATCGTATTTATTTATTTATTTATACATTTTTTTTCTATTGAATTCGGTTTATAGTGTACTTAATATTGTTTTGGAGTAAAATTAGCGTAAGTTGATACTACATTATACATAAACATAAATATAGTATTATTTTTATGCCAAAATGTGTTAAATTACAGTGATTATAAAATGTTTAAAAAAATATATTATAAACATTTTCATATGGTAAAATACGGAGTTTTCATTATCTTTTATTTGTATTCTGGTAAACTATATATTATGTGATAAGAATTATTTATAAAATTTTCACAGGTCTTATAGAGGAAGGGTACCACAGCACAAATCCATACCATAATGCTATTCATGCTACCGACGTAACCCAAGCAATGCACTGTTTTCTGCAAGAGGATAAGGTTAGTTGGTATAATATATACTTTTAAATATAGAGCTTTGGGCGTTTTTTTTTTTGTTACATTATTATACTTATAACTAATTATAAGTGTATCATCATTAACTGTATAATGTATTTAAAAATTTACACCTATAAATTCGACAAAAATCTCAGACAGTTCATATAAGTTAATATATAGTTAAATAGTTAGTTTTAAATTGTACAGTTTTAAAAGGAATTCAAAACTATTAAAAAAAAAAATGTGTTTTTGGGTATTTATTTTAGGTATAATTATAAATTAATTTATTTTTTCTGAGCTAAGCTTAAAATTGTATAAGTTTAATGTAACTGTTCTTATTGTGCTTTTCTTGGTGTACTTCTAACATTTCGAAGTGCTGTACGGTAAAAACCTTTTCGAATTTATTTAAAACAAATAAATAGTTTTAATTTAATTTTTTTGAGAATTTTTTCAACATTTACTTTTTCAAATTGTAGTATACTTCAATTTTTTTTGTAAAGTATCATTAATGTGTATCATGTACTTATGATTAAGAATTAAAAATTACATTTTGAAGACCAAAAAAAAATAATGCATATTAACAATAGACAATTTCAAAGAATATAAGATGTTGATGTATAAATACTTAGCCTGAAGTATTATTATATTTGTAAAGTACGACCGGTTTCGAATTAAATTATAATAAAATTTATTTTATCAATTTTATCGACTAAATTGGTCGTATTTTACGAATAAAATAATACTCCAAGCTAAGAATTTATTAATATATTAACTTACGAATGTTATCCATTTAATAGTTTTTAATATTTATTTAAGTTTTTATTATTTTAATTATAAAATGATTTTTAAAAACATATAATGAGCTTATATTTTATACTTATTATACAACTTATTAAACTTGTGAAATTTAATGAAAAAATGCAGTGGAAAAATTACAAAAAAAAACTTGTTATTTTACTATAGTACAAGTTTAAATTTGTATCTGAGTAATAATTATCAAAATATTATTTTAAACTCCAAAAAACTTCCAATTCTCAATCGTTTTGTGGTATTAATGTAACATTTTTGTGATTTCTATAGGTTTTATTCGTATAAATATACTAATCAATCTAATATAGACTCAATTCGTGTTTTTTTTCAATCTCCGAAATCAAAACATCCACCACAAATTTTTATTTGGATGTTTATGTTTACTAACTTTGAATCGTTGTGTTATAAGTTATATAATACGGACATTCGATTACACACGCAGAACGTTTAACACAATCCGTATAGAAACGCTCTTTAACGTTCAATACGTGTAGTTCTATACGTTTACCTTTCAAAATAAACACAGCATAGTGTATGTATCCATAATTGTATAAGTAAATATTATAATATGTACTTTTAGTACACCGGATGTATGTAATACCAACTAATTTTAATTCAAAATACAATTGTCAATATAGTACGCACTAAAGTCGATGAAATACGAATTTTATTTACACCAATATTAAATATACTTAATTTTACTTAGCACCATGAATAAAATTGAGGTATATATTTTTAAACGGAATGGAAATCGATTCTGTATCGCAAGTTTGAATAGTTTCAAGATATTTTCTAAGAATATTTAAATAATATAAATAAAATTCGGTTTTATATTTGAAACATGTAAAAAAAAAAAAAAAAAAAAAATACCTATATGAATATATATATCATAAACAAAAATGAGTATCCTTATCTACGGTATCTTTTTTACTATTTACTATTGCGCGTGCTGCAAAATCTTAACTTCCATGCAACGTTTTATCGTGTCCCACGCAACAGTTTCTAATTATACACTGTACATATACAGTAAATATCCACACGGTTTGTGACGATTATTGCCAATACCAAACAACTATCTACTTCCTATCATAGTAATTGATTGTAATTTAGATCATATAGTTTTATGGGTACCTATTGATTCCTCATCAAATGTATCGTATCCGCCCTTACAGGTAGTCTAAAAACAATCTATTGACTCCGCGTAACTTTGCGTGGGAATGGGACTTCGCTCCAAAAATAATTATAGTCTAAGCCTAACCTAGTTTTTGTACAAACCTTGATAATGTTGTGAATTATACTTTGTATGAACCTAAACCTCGCTGCACGAGTAAATCACATATTTCACATATAAATGAAATTCGTTACTCTTCGTTAAGTTTTTTTGGAAACTTTTAGCTCAAAACTCGAAATAAAATCTGTAAAATTATCGATTCTGCATGTAATGATTTTCTGGATATTGATTTGTTGTCGAATTTAAGCTTTTAGCGTACGAAGTAACAAAAATAATATAATTAAATTCTGAGCCAATTCAACTTTTCACATGGTGTCATTATGCTCGATAAAATCGTATAGATACAAAACAACTACTCATTATTTAAAAATGCTAAGAGGTTCCTATTTAGGTGTTTGAAGTATTTTCACACATACTTAAGCTCGTCTTCCAGTTTACGGGAAGTTGTTTGAAATTCGTTACCCTACGGTGAAAATAAACCTAAGTTCTATTATAGCATAATATCATCTATAATACATATAAATATAATACATAATAATATAATACCTATATATGGGCTATTGTAAATATGTTGAAAGATGATATTATTCATACAATTCATATGAACGCTCATAAAACTGCGTTTCTATTACTAAGGTATTTAATATGATGATATAATAATATATTGAGTCTATAGTTAAATATTATTATTATTACGCGAGATTTACTTAAATTCGTACGTTTTTGATAGATTTCCCCAGAAAACTATTTTATTATTGTTTGTGTAATTTATTATTGTTATTGTTAATATTGACAGGTTTAGTGCTGCTATAATATATGCCGCACGTAAACCATAGTCTTAGAAAAGTGCTGCCAGAAACAAGTCTTTTCATCTGGCAATACCGGAAAATTTGACAAATTGCTGTCACATTTTTGTCAGTCATTATTATTATTATTATTATTATTACTAGTATTACTACTTTATTTTTTATTTTTTACCTTTTCGAGTTTAATTATAGATATTTTACTATATATGATCGTAAAATTAAAGTACATGAAGTAGGTATCAACAACAAATATTTAATATTATCGCCGTTTAACGATTGGATGACATAATCGGATTGTTTCTGTCATTATTTTGACCTTGTTTAAGATTATACTATTTGTTCGTATAATAAATATTTTTAACTACCCATATACTCAAACCTAATATAAATTATTACAGTGAAAACTGTCTAAAGCGGACCCCGAATAAAACGGAAAACTATTCAATACGGAATTTTTCTATGGTCCCGGCACGTTCCTATGGTTTTATATAGACGCTGAACCTCAATAAAAGGGAACCCTCTTAACGCGGAAATGGAACGATTTCCTAACCGGAAAATGACACGCATATGTGTACTATAAACCTAAAATATAGATATGCACATGGTTGTATGTACATCATTAAATAGTGATAGATAGAGCGCGGATTTGTATACACTTAAAAGTATCGAAATATGCCATATAATATGCAGTCATGCAAATCATGAAAATATACAAAAAATATGCAGTCAAAATCATGAAAATATGTTAAAAATATGCAGTCAAAATTATGAAAATATGCAAAAAATATGCAAGAATTTTTTATTTATTTAAAATTTATAATTCAACTTATAAAAATTAATTACTTAAATATTTAATATAAAAAAATTTAAGGAATTTTCTGAACTTAAATTATTTTTAAAATTTTATTTATTATTAAAATAAATAATCATATGTATTTCAAGTTTATCTTCTGTGAAGCTGTGTCGTTTATTGGTTAACATATTTTTAAAGACTGAAAATGAACCCTCGATGTCAACCGAAGTTATTGGGGCATATTTGAAGCAAGTGGTATGTCGATAATCGACTGACACAGCAAGAGCGATTAAGTTTACATCGTAATCGATTATTTATTTTATAACTAAATATATATATAAATTATTATTTAGTGACCATGAAATTTATTTTTAATTTTTCTACTAGACAAAATACTATTTTATACACTTTTTTTAAATTTTCACTTCAATATGGAATAAATTTTGAATTTTGTGAAAATATGCAAAAATATGCAATAACCTATAAATATGCAGAAATATGAAAAAAAAATTTCACCATTAGCTTCAAATTATGATGATTCGTGGAGATAACTGACAAAAATCCAAAAATATTGAAAGGAAAAAAAATATGCGATTGCATAGAAATCCGCGCTCTAGTGATAGATAAAGAAGATAAAATTGTTCTATACATATTCATACATATTCAATATATGTATATACAATGCATATTATCGTATAAACGATACGAACTTTCTTCTTTGATACTGTGAAACAGTCATACACCAATAGTCGTACATTCAATTTTAATTTTATCTCCTATTCATCGTAGTATATATTAAAATGCCAAAATATAAGTGTCTATAAAAAATATCAACTGATCGATACGAGCATAAAAGGATAATTGAATAATCCGGAACATATCGTTTTATCGAATAAAGCGGAATTTTTTGTTGGTCCCATGCATTTCCGTTTTAGGCAGTTTTCATTGTATAGTTAAAAGACTAAAACAGATAAACATAAACTTTGACGTTATATTTTTATCTTACGCCATGATCAAACCTACAGATTAAAATTGGCTATGTAGATTCGTTAAAATTTGATTTACTTATGTATTGTCCAAAGGCAAAAAAATAATATAAATGTAAGGGTTTTGTGGAAGTGATTCTTTATTAATAATCAAATTTTAATTAAAATCAATTGTATAAAAATACATTATATTTATTGTAGTATACCATTAATATCCAAGTAGTTTGGGGTTATAAAAAGTGAGGAACAAAATTATACGTATACTGTATTACTATGTATATATTTTTTATATAAATACGTCCTTTTGATTATCGTTATGGAAAATAATTTTTGTTTTCCCTAGAGTCCTATGAATCATAATAGTATCAACAGTTATTAATTAACTCATATTCATACCAATCCAAACGGTGCACTGCTCATCAGTTGTTTAGTGTTTACTAATTTTACAACCAAGTTGTATATTCGAAATTAATAAGGTCACAGAACTTCCGAATAACTGCAAATAAACATTAACTAACTACATTTCATAATAATTTTATTTTACGAAAAACGAGCGTGGTTGAATATTTCACTCTTTTTAAGACAAGTGCTGGTTTTTAAATAATTTTTTTTTTCGTTGAAATGAAGAAAACATGTTCATAGAAGTTTTTAGAAACACTGCCAAAATAAATATTATCTATTTTCAACAATATGTAATAATAACTTTGGATTTAATAAAAAGAATTATACTACATCTGAAGAATACCTAGAAAATTACTCGAGGTATCTTAAAAGTAATACCTTAGGACTTCCAATTAAATTAAATGAGCATCAGTAATTGTGCCATATACATTATCTGTATAATAAGTTTTTATTTGCAAATTTATCAACCCTAGTTTTTTGTTTTCTGATCCTTTTCCTTTCAGTCACCAAGCAACCACTACAGTTAAATGATGAATAATAACGACAACAATGACTCTATTCATGAACAACCATGAGCATGACAATTGTTTCCTTGACAACATAGTCGGAGAAGATTGGGTGGATAGGTTAGGAAAGGAGAAGAGGATCGAAAGTGTAATGTAGACGTATTAAAATATCCCCAGAAGGGAATACATAGCTGTTCATTTTAATAGCGTTAGGTTTATATTTTTCTAATATATATTGTTGGGAACAGATTGAACTGCTAAAATAAAGCCTTTGCGCGTCCGCGCAAATCAACTAGTGCATATCCGTAAATGCAATAACAATTCGGTCGAGATAGCGCGCCTTTCCTTCGCCAACTGGTTTTTTACGGAAAATGGTCGATGATTACCAGCGTCATCGCCTGTCTTCGAGTGCAGTGCATTTTCTGATGGCTATAGGTGTGGTTTTGCAGGCGTCCGTCACGACACACATATAGCCCCGATATATTCGGCCGGTATTGCGTCTGTCAATGGCCCTCTGCGCCATTTGCGTGTGTATTTTTGTTTCGTTGTGCGTGAATGTGAACCAGGCTTTTGCGCCTCCGCCACGCCAACTGGTATCTGTGTGTTTTCCGCCACTTGATTCCCGGGTTCATATGTGCAAGGGTGTCGACCACGTGTCCACCTGTGTTTTCCGACTATCACCGTCCGGTGTATATTCTTGTTTGTTTACATTTCTGTCGCTACCACCCTACTGTAACTTGCCGTCTGACTAGTTCCAGACTTCAACGTTCACCATCAACGGCATCATCCCATCTGTTCCAGGAGTGTTAGATCACGTTCGTCTTTTCTTCTTTTTATTATTATTATATAGTTATTTGATCATATTAGTTATTTATTATTCAATATGTGATAATATACGTCAAATAGTTTAATTTTATTTAGTCTATAGTGGTATTGGTCACACTAGGTTACATACATATATATCTCATTCTCATTCCTTATACAATCCACTGTCATGTTATCTTTCCTATATTTCCTCCCAGCTAAAATTAACAGTAATACGACCGGTGAAATACTCCGAGTAAAATTCTTTATTCGATTTTGTGGTCCTATGAATCATCGAGAGATCACCAAACTAATAATAAATTGTATTATTTGTTATGAAAATATGACAATAATGTGACCTGTAAATGAAGTTAGTCGAAAAATTCTTTTAGTATCTTATTTTTATTTAACTCGCCTGGTGTTCATATTTTACTCCTACTCTATTAACATTTTTTCATTTTTAATTGAATACCATAGAATAATTATATTATATTGGTACGAATAAGAATGTTAACAGTATTCGAGTCACTATTTGGTTTTCTTGTGGGCACTGAAAAAATTATAAACCGTAGTTAATTAAAAATGTAGCTTTTCATATCAACTGGTGATTCTGTATTAAATATTATAGATTTTCGTTGAATTGTACATGTGTTTGGTATCTATAAAATTTCATTTTGTGTAAATCAGCACTAATATTAGTGAGTTTATTATAGTTCTCGAGGGACTGTATAAAGATATTTTCTTTATTGAGTCGCACGAAAGATAACTTTTAATGTTTACATTGAATTTCATGAAATTAGATGAGAGATGTGGTATATGCGATTTCCAGTTTTAAATTCGAAAACAATTTGTTATTAGCAAAATAAAAAAATAAAAAAAAAATAGTGAAATTATTCTAGTTGTTTAATCAGAGAGTTTAGAAAACCATAAATGTGTGTATGTTTGTAATAATATTTTGTGTTTTTTTTTTATATTTATATATTTATAGATTAAGAACTTCTTAACACCTCTTGAAATAATGGCATCCCTCATAGCAGCTGTTGCTCATGATCTCGACCATCCTGGTGTCAATCAACCTTTTCTTATAGCAACCAGTAACCACTTGGCCACTCTCTACGAGGTAAATATAAACGGAATTGCCTAAACATCTCGAAGTGAGTATGGGATGCTTTATCTTTTAGTGGCTAGTTCTCGATTAAATGTATAAATATTCGTGAGTATATATTTGTATATGAATGTACATATATATTTTCAGAACACTTCAGTGTTAGAAAACCATCACTGGAGATCGGCGGTGGGCTGTTTACTTGAAAGCCACGTTGCGGAAAAACTTAGTCCCATACGTCAAGATCTCGAATCGCAGATAAGTTCACTAATCTTGGCCACCGATATTACGAGGCAACCGGAATTCTTAAAAAAATTTAATGTAAGTTACAGAAAACAAAAAAAAAAAGAGAAAATATTCTGTTTGGGATTATCCAAGAAATATATTTGTAACGTAATGGAACATTTTGTATGAATTTATGACTTTTCATACATTTCATTTGAGAAAAAATATTTTTATTATTATTTTTTTCTATATTTTTCGTTTATGAAAATATTCTTTGAGTATTTAATGGGCTTTCTCATGATGCATTTTTGTATAAAATATTCTTATTTTTGAGTGTTTTAAATATTGTCCAAATAAATATATTGATATGTTTTCAGACCTTTTATTAAACTCTAACCACTCTTATTAATCAATGGTTTTTTTTTTTAATTTTCCTATGACTTCAAATATTTTATCCCAAATCTCTGGATAAAATTATACCCGTTCATTAATAAACAGGGAATACATTTTATTATGTTTTTACATAAACTAGATTACAACAAATAATTTAATCATCCATTATGCTCAGTGATTATATTTGCTCAAAAGATTTTTTTTTAGTACGTTGTTATTATCAGCTGTAATATAATTGATAAAACCTATTGATAGAATCGATATATATTTGATATATAATTAATAGAATCCATATTTATCTTTCCTTAATTTATTTTAACAAATATTTTTAAAAGTTTTAAGCTAATTGAATTGTTACAATACACATAGAAACCATTCGTATTCTGAAAATGTATAAACTAAAAGTATACAAAAAACCGCATTGCATAAATGGTGATACTATATTAAATTCACTAATCAAATCCAATAGTAATAAATAAAAATTGAAGCAAAATAATCGCAATATTGGCTTTAAGTGAATTGCGTCCCTGTTGTAATTTAATTATATATATTATAATTACTCAAATATTCGTCAATCATTTATATAAAATAAAATTATAATTATAAAAGTGTATTATATATTTTAAACAGATAAAAATTCAAACTTAAAGGCTTTGACGTATTCGAATTTGGTTATTAATTTATTATTATATTCAATCATTTTTTTCTCGAATTTTATTTTCTTTTTGAAAATTTTACGGAATTTTCTTTGTCTATTATTTCGTATTATTATATATGTTTCAGACTGAATATTTTTTAAAACATCAACAAAATTGTAAATATTTAGATGACTAGTGATAAATAGATTATTTAATTTAGAATTAAACGTCTCACAACGGTTGTGTCCGATTTTTCGTTAGTGCAAATTCGGCCCAGAGATTTGGAAAGAAACTGACATCTGTTCTCATGTAAGTTTTCAATATGTATTTTATGAATTTATTAATTCGTCCGTCTTCAATAAGTGAAATGGATAGTAAATTTTGAAAGCATTTTTGTACCTCAACTGAAAAGGCAACCTAAAATTATACTTTAAAAATTGACTGGATTCGGAATTGTATTGTTTGAAAACTTTTGTTAAGCTAAGAGATTGTATTTTTCTCCACCAGCTTTGCCCTGATGAAAATAACATCCCTTAATTTGAGCTATAGTTTATACAAGTTTTACAGCATAATGTATTGCAGATTCTAAATCTTATGTGGACATATGTAGGAGAAAATAAAAAAACATTTATATTACAATGAAGTATTAAATGTTTAAATAATTTAACATAAATTTCAGTGTGTTTTTTTTGTAATAAAAAAAATAAGAGGCACGTTAGTTAATTAATTCCTGAAGTTAAACCATACGGCATAAAACTCATATATATATATATATATATATATATATATATTTGTTTTAATTACCCTCAGTCCTATTGTATAAGATAATGAATTAAAAAAAATAAACAGAAGTAAATATTTAAAATATTCAGTGTATTCCAGCCAATGCTTCGCGGTCTGTCACTCGGTGCTCGCACAAACGAGATGTCGCAAATTATAATTTTTTTCTTGGATACTCTGATAAGTAATTGAGATAAAAATAAAGGTGCTGTTTCAGTGTTATTGTATTTCTTAGAAAATTAAGCGAACCCAATTCACATACTTGAAAAAATATTGGAGACAAAATTTACCTACTTGAAAAAAATACTTGAGCCTCAATTTACCTAGCTGTATATTAACATTTTATTTATGGGACGCAATTCGCCGAACCTGACTAAATTGAATGAAACACTAAGGTCAGATGAGATAGAGGAATGGATGAATGGTATTGTTGTACTGCTCTTTTAAACTTGAAACTAATGTACCATTGCTTTCGATAAAACAATTCTAAGTAAAAGGGATCAAGAAGATTATGGCAAAACCAATACATTCCTCGTTTCATTCAGAATCATAAATCAATTATTTCGTTTACTATTATGTGAATATTATATTATAATATTTATTTTATGCGTATTGTATATTATCACTATATTCTTTTACCGTGTGTATATAATACAATGAAACAATTAAAAAAAGACAAATTGGATTAAAATTTATTTTTAGTCTAAGAAAAACATAGCTCATATCAAAATTGGTTATATTCAAATTACAATATTATTGATATGATTATTATTGTTTCCTGCGGCTTTACAAATGATTTCTACCATCTATTGTCTCGCTTTTATCCTAATTTTAATATAATATTTGAATTTAATTGAAATACCACAATTGTTTATAACAGGTTATTTACAATAAATTATAAGGAAAATAAATTCTAATTAAATATTAGTTGTTTTAATCGTTTAAAAAATATTTTAAGTAATGTAAATAATCAATTATTTATTTGTTCTAAACATGTTTTGTCCAAACCATTAATTTATCATTTCATTTATAATTATTGACAACGTGATTTATTTTGGAACATACAGTTATTTAATTAAAATGTGTTCAAATATTTTCTATCAATTAACACTCATTATTATTTGTATTCAATCAATACATATTAGGATTATTTTATACTATTATTTTTTTTGTTCTATTGGGAATTGTAAGGTTCACCATCATTATAAATAATACTAATTTTGCTAGTCTATTGCTATAATTTAAATAAAATATATTTCGAACTGTTTTCGTTATGTTTCCACATTATACATTTTACTAGCTGGTTTAATGCTGCAAAAAAAAAAAAAAAAACTTCCGATAATATGTGACCGTGGAACATTTGAGATTCACCGTACAATCCGAGACACACATTATGCGTTTCACACGTTCGTTTTCAATCGAGAAAACTCTTTTGCATAAATGTTAAATATGATATAATATGTAGTGACTGGATTGTGAACTCGCACTCGGCATTTGTCAATAATTTAGTATAAAATGTATAATAAATGTATGCGATTCTTACTAATGTCTTATAATAACTCGGTTGGATTCAACAGGACTATCTGGAAAACGACGAATTGGACATGAAGGATCCGGAGTTACGGCATTTCATATTACAAATAGCTCTGAAGTGTGCGGACATATCGAACCCGTGCCGACCGTGGGACGTGAGCCGTAAATGGAGCCTGAAGGTATGCGACGAATTTTTCAGACAGGGTGATTACGAGAGGCAGTTGGGATTACCTGTGACCGACATCTGCGACCGGTATAACAACACCGTGCCGAAAATCCAAACCGGTACGTAGTATTCCCCATAAACGTGTGTAACGTGTGATTATTTTAATCACATCCTCTTCCTCTTCTGCGTCCTGCTCGTAAGCAGTCCACGATTTACAATAATATACGGTTATTCGGTCCGCTGAATGTCGTTTTTATTCAAATCTGAGGTACGTAAACATAAAGACTGATTGGAGTTATTATAGGTACCTCTATATTCAACACATATCATGAAATAAATTCACATATGTATATTGAGTATTTGAACTGGAAAAATGAAAAAAAGAATACGTTAAAAAAAAAAAATATGTTTATTTTAGATACCTTCTGCGTCCCCTCCGATTTAAAAGATATTTTAAGATATTTAATTCGCCTTGGTCTATAGTGATAAATAAAGAATCACAAGATTTTCGTGCGTATTTAATACATAGAAAATGTATAGTGCGTTAGAGTATCGTTATACATACATACATATATATATCGTTTATAAGTTTATCGAATCGTATTGCTCCTCGTACACGTACGGATAATAATATAGGTAGATAAGGGAAAGAATAGCACGTGCGATATATTTTGTGTACTAACTATACTACATTATACGATTCTCAATAGAAATGAAAACAAATTGAAAACACATTCTTAAATTACTTCAAATACATCTATCTACGTAAATAATGCAGTTAAAACTTTTGATGTTCTTTTGTGTAGTAATAAACTCATGCCTTTAAGTATTTTTATTGTTTTTAAAACCATATTTCGTAATACTTTTGTTTGTTTGCTTTAATTGAAACGTATACTGCAGGTATTTACATCCCGTGAATCGATTTATTTTTCGGATTTTGGAAATGCATTGTCAGTGTGATTCGTGATGGAAATTTATTTCAAAACCATGAACGTCACTGGAGAGGGGAGTTGCTTAAAGAGCCAGGTCTTCTTAGAAAAGTCAGTGTCCCTCTCAATTGTGTTTTTTTTTAATTATTTTAAATTTACAGAATTTTATTACATCTATATTATTATTATTACATGCATTTTGTTTTATATCAATTTTTTTTAATCGACAATCAGGGATTTCCTAGTAACTAAGTATGAAGGGATCAAACAATTTTGGTCCCTTCGTAGAAAAATTGTTGGCTACGCATACGCCTAATTTAAACATCGGTTAATTGCTATTGCTTTGTGCTTTTATATAATAATAAGTTCTCCGATGCATAAAATTAATTTCAACGGTATAGAGCAGTAAGAACAAATCAAAAAACATGTGGACCTTGAAACTGGCCCTATCAATACCTATCTGGTATAAGTTAAGACCACGGGATTTAAAATAAAGTTTATTTTTTTTCATGTTATCACAAAAAATGCATTGAAAAATTCCTAAATACAACACCGTAGCCTGCGATTTAAACCGGGAAGAAATGATATTCATATGGAATCACATGCCCAATATAGGCTCCTTAACGGTATTGTTATAATGTGTTATTTTTATAAACGTGTTCTCGGTGGGCTGCGCACAGTGTTCTTCAAGTTCATGGTACTACCTCTGTTCAACCTGTGGCACAAGTTCTTGGACACCAAGTTGTCGCACTCGATGATGGAGAACCTGACGAAGAACCAACAGCAGTGGGAGGAGCTGCGACAGCGAGAGAACTATGAGGAGCAGCTGACGGACGTGTCGGAGGCGTCTGACAGGGCGGTAGTGGCAGCGGACGCGGACGACATGCAGCCAGAACCGGAGCTGGTGGACGGGCTGCCGAACCGCCGGGGCTCGCTGCCAGCCGTTATGCTGGAGACGGTGGACAAGATGGGCCGCCGGCACTCGGTGCCGCTGAACCTGTCACGGGCCACTGCGACCCAGGTGCCGAGTATGGACACCAAACTGCGTCGCGACAGCCTGGGCGCGACCATGCTGCCGCCATCTACGCTGCTGGTGCAGGTGGAGAACCGGCGCCGGTTCACGCTGGGTCAGATCCCTTATCTGGAGGAAGAAGAAGAGGGCTTGAGTCTGTCGCTGGGATCGTCACGCAGCAGCGGGTTGCAGCGGTCGTCGGACGGTGGTGGCGGCGGTGGAAGCCACAAGGACGACCGGCCGGTGAGCGCGGAGAACCTGATCCCCGAACCGAGCATCGCGACCATCACGAACCCGGCCGAGGCCAGTCGGCTGTGCAATGTTATACATGGCGTCACGTCGCCCGTGCTTCAGCAGGCCGCACGCAGCCTCACGCGCCAACAGACGTTTCCTCCCATCCAGCCGTACGTCCGCGCACGTTACCTGTCCACCGGTGGTGGCAGCGATCTGGTTCCGTGCTCGTCGTCCAGCGGTGGCACTTCGGCCGTGTCCACCGCGTCCAGTAGAACCGGATCGACCAGTAGCGAGGGCGGTGGTGGTGCCGGTGACGGTGGTTGTGTCGTCCTCGTGGGCAACGGTAATGGCACGAAGCGAGACTCCGTTTTGGACGCGGACAGGGCGTATAAATTAGCCAGGTTTTCCAAGGAGAAGGAAAACGTCGATCCGGCTTCGCGGACCAACGCGGAAATCAGACGGAATAGCAATCACGTGAATCAAGTGCGTAGCTTAAATATAATCGGGTACCTAACCTACGGTTTTAATTAGTAAATCTATTTCAAGAGTTTCATCTAACATCGTTAAAAAAAAATTAATGGATATACTTAAAACATGTCGATTTTCAATTTCTTCCATTAATTTTTTCATAAAATCAGTGATTGTATGTTCATATGCTTATTTTTTTTTTTTTTTTTTTGGTTCGCAAAATAGATTTTGACGAAACGCCGAGGTTCAGCTCCAGTTAGTGGTGGAAATGGTGACAGTACGGTATTTATAATGCCCGGTAAAGGTCATGAAGCAACAATACCCAGACGCGGATCTGTGCCGTCGGATTTTTCCAAACAGAGTAAATATACATTATTTTTACGATCAACATTGTTTTTTTTTTCTAGTTCATCGTACATTATTATTATCATCATATTAAAATAATCGCCATATAAAAAAAAAATTAAAATAATTATTAAAATGATTACTATTATTATATTTTTGTTATTATTATTATTATTATTATTATTATTATTATTATTATTATAATTATTATTATTATATTTACAACTTACTCATTTTTATATCTTTTTACATATATTTTTTTTTTTTAATATTTTTTCCATAATCGTTTTATTTGTGAATGACCGCAGTCACGGCGCTTTAATGTCAACGTACTTATGCACTTGTGGTTAATGCATGGCTTTCTATCGCAGGTACCTTTTTTAAGATGGTGGCCATCGGGCCTCTGAGCACGAATGGCCGGAAGCAAGGCGCGAGACGTTCATCACTACCGTATGATTCCAATATTGGATTATTGAGCTCGCCTCTTGTTTCTCCTTCACGGCCAGGTGAGTGAGACCATCATTGATTATTAGAAGAAAAACGTTTATTTAAAGAGCATAGACGAACACTGATATATATTATCTCTATACTTGGTACATGAAATATGGGTTTTTGTCATTAATTATTAGTGCTTTGCTTTTTAATAATACACGTATTACACTAACAATTTGCATCATTTATTTTTTGCCTGATATTATCTTTATTCTATTGTTTATTTTCTTTGAAAAATTGATATATTTTTTAAATTAACGAATTTTCTCATATAACCTGCAGTATATATATCATAACCTATACTATTAAATTAAAAAAATATTTTTTTTAGAAACTGAGTGATATGAGAATTACATTGTTTTTTTATTTTTATTTATTTATTTTTTTTTTTGATGTATCACGATTTCTATCAGAAATATAATTACAATCATTACAATCGTTACAGATTTCTGTTAAGAAATAAAGTCCGGTTAGTACTCTGTAGTTAGTCATTTTACAAATTTTCAGTCTTCTTAACTATTGTGAAAAAGTGACAAAATTTAAGACATCGGTACTGGTTTTAGGCAAAATCGACTTTTTGTTTTTATCATTACTCAATCTATACTAACCATTGGGAATTAACATTTTCATTGAATACACTCACCTCTGTTTACTATAATTTTCATTAGATTTTCTAAGCTATTTATAGATTATTGAAAATGTATTACGAAATTCCTCACAAATATCTATTATTTATTAAGGAAAATAAAATTTGAACTTAATTTCAAAAATAAATTTATTAGACGTTGCATTTTATTTTGTCAAAACGATAAAAAACACGAAAATGAGCTACATTTTTGTAGCTAAAAAACTCATAAAACTTTCAACTGTTTTTCTTTATGCTTGAAAATTGAATTCAATATTTTTTTTTGTAGTCAAAAATAAAAATAAAAATATTAAAAAGACACCAAGAAATTTTATAAGCGTTACAGAATGAAATGTTTATGAAATCGAATATTTCAACGAATATCCATTGAATAATACGAGTCTAAGCTATTTGATTATTATCATATAAATATTAACTATAGTGACTCTCCACATTTACTGAGTACTCATATTAGTATTTTAATATATAATATTTCATAGTTTCAAAATATTTTTTATGAAAATTTTGTTGATTATAGGCATTTGCAATTTTTGATTCCTCCCAAATTTTATTCTGTGGTACTTGATAATACGAGGAAACATAATAAGATTTAAATATAATTTATTACCTAGATATTTTTTTTTTTTTTTAAAAAAAAATTCAGTTTACCTTACTAACAAATTTAGTTTTACCAAGCAATGGTACATTAGTTTTATGCTTGAAATACCATAAAACGATATCATTCAACAGTCCCATTGTTATTGCGACAATACGAAGGTAAAATTATTAAATAACTTTTAATTAAATATTAAATATTAGTTTATCTGATTAAACTAATTTTATCGTTAAATTATATTTTATCAAACCCCACAACTTCTTTTTTTTCAACCTAAAATTCTCATCGGATTCAAACATTAAAATCTATGGATTAAAAATTTCGTATTCAGTATATAATTCATAGTTTTCACAAAAAGAAAAAAAATAATATTAAAAACAAAAATCGGTATGCTTACAACAAATACTTTTTTTTAATAAAATACAATTTTTTTATTTTTATTTTTTTTACGGTACAGCATTAATTCATATAATATATATATATATATAATAATCTAGATATAAAATCGCATGTTAATTCATAACATCCCAACATGAAAGTAAGAAATTGTTGATTTACGTTTATGAAAATATCATAAACATTTGTTTTTAAAAAACGCTTATAGGAAAATATTTATTGAACAATTATTCTTGCCCCAATTCTTTTACCGTAAAATTATACATATTGATATATTGATATGCTTAAAAATGTCAAGCCATTTTATCATATAATTTATAGAAAGAGACTATATGTACAGTGTACATACACACACAACACACACACTCCATACATATTATATATATATATGTATTTATTTATTTTTTTTAATTACGTAGATTGCGGGTTAGATGTTGTTTAGTCATTGGTGTATGGTTGATTTCTCGTCTCGTGCGTAATGTACCGCGTTTGTTGATTGTAGAGAGACGGGGTTCAGACAGCAGTCGCCCGAGTAGCCGGAGAAGGCGCAGGAAGTCGATGAAACGGCGGAGTTCCGGTGGTTCCGACGTGTTGCTTTCCACCGGCCAATCGATGGACTCGTTCTTGGCGCACCGCCGCGGTTCCTTGCCCGTAGAAATATTAGCTACGTCTTTCTCAGGTGAAGTGACCAACAACGAAGAAAGTAACAACGCTTACGCGTACCCGACCGCGGCTTAATCCCAGCGACGGTATTCATTCCGTTATATTGCCGTCCGGGAAATCGATCGTCCCTATTGGATTCCTTCACCCGGTGGCTCTCGATTATTTTTTTCCTTCGAATAACCCAAAAATAACACTTATCGAGTACGGTCGCAATTCTTTCCCGTAACTCGTGGCGGTAGCAATACTTTTATCTTAAATTAACATTAAAACGCTGGACCAATAATAGTCAAAGATTTTCGTTTTCGGTAAGATGGTCCGTGGCTGTATTCGACACGGGAAAAGTTTAGGTGATAGGCAAAGGCGTCCATTGGAGTTGGAGAGTCAAGGGGGACATATTCCTCTTGGATTTTCTTTTTCTATCATACATTTATACATAAAATAATAATATAATCGAACTTCTTTAACTCGAAATCGTCGATACCTCGAACTTCTTCCCCAGACCCTAGATTTTTTTATTTAAACAATGCAAAAAAATCATGTTTAACTCGATTTTTTTCATGAATAACTCGAAGTTCCGAGTTTTATAATATTATAAGATTATGATATTTCCCTCGTATACTTATGTATATTGTATATGCAGGGCCGGTGTAAGACTTAATGACGCCCCAGGTCAAAATGCCAATTGAACTTTTTTCATACAACTACTCGTGATATAATATTACGTAGAAAAAATGTTGTTCGTTGACAGAAATGCAGAAAAAATTATATTCTATCTTCAACTTGTATATTTTGATATCGTATAATTTTTTAATCACGAGTCATGATGGCTTGACTGACACGATTTTAATTAAACGATAACAAATATTCGGGAATTTTCATATTTATAGAGCAACAAATACGATAAAATATTCTATGCCAAACCATAGTAAATATACTTAAAATATATTTATATTATTTTAATACATTGCTGAACAAAATTACCATTATAATTATCAATATTTCGATATAAAGTTATAGGTATTTTATATTAAAAAAATAATATTACCGACACATGTGCAAAATAAAAAAAACATTTTTGGCGCCCCTCTGAAAATGGCGCCCTAGGTGACCGCCTGAGTCGCCTTACCCCTACGCCGGCTCTGTTTATATGTATATACCGGTGCATACTACTTTTGTCCGAGATTATAACCAGTAGGTAATTTCGGTGAAACCCAAAAGCGCAAATCGTCTATTTTTTTTCGATAAACCAAAAGCGCAACTTCATTTAAAGGTTAGAGAAACATTTTGTCATGTAGATGAAGAATCAAAAATTGTAATTTTCACAACCAAGAGTCATTTTATATACAGTTCAAGTTCTGCATAATTAAATGTACGTTCAATTGGTGTATTGTATGTTGCCATCCAAAATAACTAATATTTGTGCCAAAATGTGGCATTTAATAAAAACATTATGTACTAATACATAATTAATATATATAATAATTATTATATAAGTATATTTCAAAATATACTTATGGATTTTGAATTATCTGCTCATAATAATCACAAATGTTTATATTTTGTGTATTTTTCCATATGCACAAATTAAATGTCGCCGGTTTCACTTAGCACAAGCTTGGTCCAGAAAAATTGGAAAATTGGGACTTAAAATTGAATATGACAAAAATGAATCAGAAATTTCAAATTGGTTAAATTATTTTTTTGAATTAGCTTTTTTACCTTTCACTGAAATATCTGATGCGTTTTATGAACTATTTTCTTTTGCTCCTGATAATGATAAGGTATCAGCATTTTCTGATTATATTTTAGCAAATTTGATTGAAAATGACAGCAGATATCCACCGCACCTCTGGACTGTGCCACTTTCAAATGAGCCAAGGACTAATAATGATTCAAAATTATACTATCGTCATTTGATAGATCAATTGTATAACTCATATCTATCTATTTATAATTTTATCGAAGTGTTTAAACAACCGAAGTTATAAAGACTAAAGTTTATTTAAAAATACAATCAAATGGGCGAAGAACCACAAAATGCAACTCTAAAGTCAACTCTAATATAAATGCAATGAACTATTAAAAAAAAGATTTGCAGATTAGAAAAATGTTGGCTTCAAATTTCAAATTTAATATTAATATTTATTTAAGGTACTTATTATAATATTATACCTACTACTGTTATATTTTTTAAATTTTAAATTTTTTAATTAATTTTATAGTCACTAAAAGCTTAATAATTATATTATTTTAATAAAATACATTTCATTTTTGTAAAATTGATTTGTGCTTATGGGTTGTTAAAAAAGTGATTTTTTTTTGCGCTTATAGGTTATTTATTTTTGCGTTTTTGGGTTGCGTTTGGGTCATATTTTGCGCTTAAGGGCTATAGCCGGTAATTTGCGTCCCACCAAAAAAGGTTCAAAAAAGATCATAGCCTATTTGCATTCAAAATTACCTTTTGAGACAGCCAAGTTGCGTCACAACACAAATCAGTCATAAACATAACATATAATAAATATTACAAATAATTAATTACCTTTAAAGTTTTTCAAAGCATTCAGTTTTTTTAAATACGGCTTAGAAATTGTTTGGCGACAACCAAACATTGTCATGGTACGTAATTAATTTTATTCACACTGAAACTCTATAATAGTTGATAATATTAATTTATTGTTAGTTGCAGATAATCTACCATGTACAAAATGTATACATATATGTTTATTGTAATACATAATATTTATGGACGTATCTCGGTCATTACTATTATAGCAGATAAGAAGAATAGTAGTATGGTCGAATTGCGTCCCCAAGACGGGACTTAAGTTACTTGTTGAATTTATTACCTGAAAAATATACCTTTTTGGGGGACGCAAGTAGTATGCATCCGTATGTACATGTGCATTATATTGTATCGAGGCGATTTATCAAAAACAAACCAGAGATCAATGGTGAACTTTTCGAAGTTTTAAATAAAATAGAACGATTTATTGCAAATGCTGCGATCAACAGCAAAACTCAAATAAAAATAAATACTTTTTTTAAATAATTTGCTAACCTAATTTTTGTTTATACGTACATTTTTTAAAATTACACATAATAATTTTGAAATGCTATTTGGAAAACTTGAACTTTTTTCCGGTCCTTTTAATATCGAGTTAACTAGGTTCGACTGTAATAAAAATAATAATTATCAATTTTTATTAATTATGTATTGAATTTATTTTGTTAACTAACTCTCATGGACAAAACATTACGACGGTAGAACAAAGTCAGGGGATTACAGATATTTATTATACATCTATCGATAACGATCGCTGAGAGTCAAAGAGGTGCAAATTTTTGATAATGGATGTCTTTGGTGATGATAGGAGAACTAGACAAGAGTAAAATGAAAACAATATGTGTAAACGTCGAATTACGTCTCGCAATTGCGGACGGGTCGTTTCACTGCAATAAACGTAACACCGAGGAATGTTTTACGTTGGTACGTCACCTGCTCTCGTAACGAATCGTAAGCCATTTTCGTGGCCCGTGAAGTCACTGGTGATTTTTCCGTCGAATTTGATAGTTGTAATAAAACATAACGAACGGTGCGATAAAAATACGATTGATATTACCATTTCGCCGCCACCGCCACCGATAATGTTGTCTATTTCTCGTCACGTTATCCCCGTGATGATATTTATGTGAAATCGTATTGTCAACCGACAAACGCTAACTTGTTTTTTTTTTCGTGAAAACGATCACATGAATAACAATTGTACTTAACATAGTTTTCGTGTTCCAAGCGATTGCGTGTCGTTTCTCAGCTTTATTCCCCCGTTTCATTGTAATACCCATGATTTAAAAAAAAAAAAAAACGAATTCGTGCTTACGATAATTTGTACATTTACGAGCATGGCCTAATGTCCGTAGAATTGACGGTGTACGTATTATTATAATGATAACTAGGGCCCGGATTTTTATGCAAATGCATATTTTTCTACAATTAAATTAGAACTATTTTGATTATAAATGTTGGCGTTTCGTAATGGGTAGAGTTTAGGGTTAATTTTTTTTTTTACATATTTTTGCATATTTGAATGAAAATGCATATTTATTGCATATTTCTTGATAGTTGCATAAAAGTTGCATATTCTACAATTCGTAGAATTTATTGATCATAGGTTTCAGTTTAAAATTAATCTTATGTCTGTAAATGATCCAAATTACAGTTCCAAGTCCCAGTAGTATAGGATTAGAAATAGGTAGGTAGGGGTGAACGGTTCAAATCTCGGCGAACATGGAATAAACTTATAGTTTTTTTTTATTTTCTGGATAATAATTATTGTGAAGTCTATGCGCAGAAAATGAGGAATTCCGTTAATCTTTATGTACTAACATTATTAACCTCTCAATATGACATTATTGACTACTCATAGTAATCACATGTTGATATCGCATACAAATAACTTCGTTCAACCTGGCGTTAAGCGTCCATAACACATCTCTGAGAAGTCAACAGGCACTTATTCGTAACTTCTCAACCGTCAGTGTGACAACTATGTGACTACTATGCTATAGGATTTTTTACACCGGGGGGTCAGGGATAGATTTCGCTAGATCTAAACTTAAAAATGTGTTGTTAAAAAATCGTAATTGAATGTGGTGAAAACGAGGAACTGTCAGTTGAAGATTTATCGAGTTTTAAATATGCACCAATTGTATCTTGTGCCGTGGAAAGAAGTTTTTCCAAATACAAAAGTATGCTTCGAGATAATCGTAAGAGTTTTCAACTCGAAAACTTGAAATCCATATTTATTAATTCATGCTGGTACTCGTCCAATAATAATAATTTAATATAAATAGGAATACTTTAATTTATAATACTTTTATACTTACACAATGTCATTAAAAATGTTATTTTGCATTGTTTATTATTAATTGTATATTGTTAATTTGTAAAAAAAATCATTTTGCATATTTTTTGCATATTTATGATATGAATCTGCATATTTTATAGATTTTTATTGCATAAAAATCCGGGCCCTAATGATGTCCAATCCAACAGTATTGTTGGTCATTTATTGGAGGTTTGATGGCATGCTGTTAGCGATACAAATCTTATATAAAACATAAAATAAATAGTTGTTTGACGAATTTTTAAACGTTCCAACAACTTCCGATAAATCACCATTAAAATTATATCCCTTATAAGTAAGATTAATGATAATTATTTTTATTTTTTTAACAGGTCCGCATTGAAATTATCAACGAATTTTCGCATCGTAGACTGACAAAATGGAAACAAATTGGACGATAAAATATGCAAGCCATATAATGCTTATGACGAATAATATATTATTTGTACGTGATTCTCCGTACTGCACGATACATTTCATAGAACATGTGCGTGTGTATATGCGTATACATATTTGCATACAATAATATATGTATGCCAATTGACAAACGACACATAAATGATTTATGGTCTTCCCGGTGTCCTCTTAGGAAAAAATATATATTTAAATATATATATTGCATGTATATACATATACAATAATGGAATCATTTATTTGTTTACTTTCGTTCACCAAAGCTCAATGCTTACGGTTGTTCTTTTTTTTCTTTTTTGTAACCATGTAAGCTTTATACTTCTAAGCGTTAAAATCTAATCTATATAATGTAAATAATCACTTTACACGAGTCGTAACGGGTGCATCGTCACGTGATTACGATTTATATCGTACTGTTTTCCATTCTGTTTCTATCTGTGTACGAGGTACATATCATGCATTTGTGTTGACCATCTTTGCCTTTTTTACAAATATTCTTAATGTATAAGCTTCACAGTCTCCCGCGATCTATGTTATTATATTGTACTCACGCGCGAACCTTATACGTCCCACGATAACGTTCAGGGTCTGTTGCGTACTTAGAGTATCGTCCGGGCTCAATCCGTTTTTACTTATGTAAATTCGCTTGTTACTCGTGCGCATTAAGCCCAGATTTACCGGGAGAGAAATATCATGATATTATTTCACGGACGCTTCCGTTAGAATAGAAATTAATAATTTTAATAGTGTCGAGTTCAAATCTGAGTAATGCACTTGAGTACGTTTTATTTATAAAGAAAAAAAAAAGCGTTATCCCGCCTGTATAAGAGAATCGTCTATGATAACAATAATAAAATCTTCTAATATGTGTATGGTATATGAAACATTTTTATTTCCTTCTTTCTTGTTTTTGTTTATTTTAATATGTATAACGAAAAATCACTGCCATTTTACTGATATTATTATTCTTCATTTTAATACTATACCATTTTTCGCGTGTATCGCGCATTGTATACTTGAGTTTGTTCGTTAAATATAATATTGAGTTACTAATTTAGATTATTATTCTCAAGTGTTTGTTTGATTGGTGAAAATTGTAATTTCCTTTTTTTTTTTTAAGTGCCAAATGAGATATAGTATTTAGAGAAACTATATAACTTCCAGGTTTTCGAAATCTTTCTGTGGATATTTTATTTTATTAATAAATATATAACATATTACATCTATTATACTATCAGTCCACTTCGTACAATAAAATATTATTATGCAATATAAAAATACATTGAACAAAGCTTTACAGATACTGTTCTGTCTTGACGAGGAATATAGATTTTTCTAGTCGAAACATAATTTTTTTTTTATTAATTTTTTTATTTAGTTACATTTTTTGACGAATCTCTTTGGTAATACCTACTTAACATTAAAAATCAACCGCTTCTTGAAATTATTCCAAACGTAATTCGGTTTATTATAAATATTTATCAAGTTTGATAAAATAATAATAATAATTATAATAAAATGATCTGCTCCATTTTACGGAAAAAATTATGTACCTGTTCTTTTGGACGTATTTATTTATTTATGATATTCATTGAATAAAAATTTAAATATCTGTACTATTAATAATTTAATTTGTAAACTATTGAAGACGAAGAAGTATGTACCTACCTATATTTTAATCTTGATGAACATTATGTTATTATTCTAAACAAAGAATGTATTGCAATACATTTTATTATATTATTTAATAGATTTAATGTGAATAGTTTTATTTATAGAATTTTGTTTTGTTTTGTAAAATGTTTTGAATACAATAAAAATTATTATTATTATCAATATTATTTCGCTATTTAAAAGCTTAATTTAGGCCCTATACTATTAGCTAAATTTGCCAGCTGTTTTCCTGTTAATTTCAGGAAATCATTTAATACAAATAATTATCAATAAAACTGATAAATAAAAGTATAGTTTAATCTCAATATTTTGGATGATAATGATCATAAATAAGTTTAAAAAAATGCACTTAATAAATTCACACATTTTGTTTGTAATGCTAATGTGTTTTTCTTTCACTGTTATAAAAATTATTTTCAATTGTCATTGTTTATGTTGTAGACAATAAGTGAGTGTATTTTATATTAATTCGTTTTTCATTTGTAATTTTTAGTTGGATTTATCTTTCACTTTTCTCTTACTTTTTTTTTTTTTTTTGTGATACCTCTTATTTGTAAGTTTTAGGTATCATTAATAATTTGATGTTTTATGTATTCCTCATCCTAATACTGCTAAGACTATGTTACGTTTAATATAATACTATCATAATATTATTCATAAACATATTATACCATAATAATATTGTGACTGTCAAACAAATACATCTTTTTTTTTTAACAATACCGCTGTGGACAAATGTAATTTTTCGCACTGTGAATATGTGCACCATGTGATTATTTTTTCCTTTGTTCAAAACTGTTTTTATGAGCAACTAACAGAAATCAAGTAGTAACGAATTCTATCGCTACTACTAATACTTTTTTTAAATCTTAGCGCGCTACTTTTTCGTTATATTTTTTTTTCTTTTTTAAACTGTATTAGATTTAAAAGTCTATGCGCGTAACAAATATTTATGTTTCTCGGAAAGTTATCATTTATTCTATAAACTTAGACTATAAACGTTAATGGCACTAGTTCAAACTAAATTTTATGTTGTTATAAAAACCGTAAAACCACCGTACTGGAAAATTAAATCAGGTAATTAATAAGATAAGTTATAAGTTCTATTATTATAGTATAACACTACACTTGTCTAGCTACTGGTATTCTGTGTTACCTTAAATTCCAAAAACAAGCCAAGTAGTATAATTTAAAATCATTTTGAAAATTACAGTTTAGAAGCTTACTTAATCAACAGTCACAGAACATACCAGATTTAATTAATACCTAGTAACGAACATTTTTATTTTTATTTTTAACATTTTATTTTTAGAGCGAGTTATTTTAATTTCGCTATATTTTATGCACTGTAGCAACGCTACGATAGTCCCTACAGGGGAGCGTACATTTTATAACGAAACTACAATTAGCGTGCTACACCCGCACACTATTCACTATAGATACCACCATGTCGTTGCATAGTAACGTCAAGCCTACAGGAAACTAACTTCATTTATAAAAATTACGATTATTGTGAAACATCTGTTGATGAAACACCCTGATATTGAACATGAATGGATTGATAAAATGATATGTAAACTTCATGAAAACCCAAAAACAAATGATAAAATGATAAAAAATAAACACTCGTATGGAAAGAAACAAAATTACCTATTTCAGTTTTAAAAAAGTATAATTACCTTGTTTTTGCTTTACATAGAGATGGAAAAACCATTAAGACTAATACGTTTTGTGGTAGCTGGCAGCAGGGCCGGTTAGCTATGGGTGACCTGGGCGATTGCCTAGAATGCCAGCTCGAAAGTAAAAAAACGTCAAGCTCAAAATTAGAACTATTATATTCTTGTAACGAAAAAAAAAATCTGTCCAAAATATGCACTGATATAATACTAAGTTATAATACTAAATACATACTAATTTTATTTAAACTCATTAAAAAAGTTAGTGTACTTTGCATTAAATTAATAAGATGTTGTATACATTACCGATTTGTCGCTATCAGCGTTTTTTTTTTTTTATTGCTATCAAAAACTATTAAATACGGTTCGCGAAATAACGTATGGACGCTAATAATTTTAATTGAATTAAATAATGATTTAAAATTAAAAACTATTTAATCCAATCAGTGTCATACAAATATTGGATATTCTAATCCCGATAATTTTATTATAAAAAATAAAAAGTAAGTGCTTATAGTTTAATATACTATGCTTGACTAAATTTTTCTGTACACTTATGAATTACAACATGGTTAACAATTATGTTCATGAATTTTGAAGCTTGATGATTATTTATTGTTCGATTGTACACTTATAGTAGATATATAAACAAAGTGACTAAGGAAATCAACCATACAAAATATTAATTTTGCATGTAAGCCGTAATATAATATATTTTTACGAATTATAATAACACGGGTCAAATAAACATATTGAAATTGCTAATTTTACATTAATATAGCTAATTAGTATTATGCTAAAATAATAATATTCATAATAACAGATAAACTTTAAACTAAAGATTATAAACTACAACTACTCAAAATAATGTTTTTTAAGTGTAACGTAAATCGTTTACGGATAAAGAGCTTTTTATGACACACGTATTTTTTAAACTATTTAAATAATTTAACCGAGTATAGTTCAAACAATAAATAATTCAAATTGGTAACAATTCAATCTAGACTAACCGTAATATTAATACAGATGCTCGAATTGAGGGGTAGGGGGAAGCAATGGGACTAAGAACTCCGACCATTTTTTTCAAAAACTGAAGCTTATTTGTCTCACGTATTTTATAGGAAGAGAGGAATGCCGGATCTACTTTCCTATTAAATTTATAATATGTCTCTACTTTATTTTTACAATTCGAGCACTATCTGTTACTGTATATAACAAAATATCCGCCAATAACCGCACCCAAAAGATTGCCATTAAATATATTCACAATCGTACTTATATATAGATTAGATTATTAGATTGAATATAGTTTGGAAAACGAATTATAACCACGTTGTCTGAACCAATATTTTATCGGTATTTCGTCACGACAAAAATAGTGTATATGAATATTAATAACAGTTTTCGATTAAGTGATATTCGACTAGACGTTTCATATAATAATAATAATAATAATAATCGTTATTGTAATAATAGTAGTATTAGAAGTAGTGATTTGTTAAAAACCATGCCCTAAGGTTTAATATCGGTTTATTTTTCGGGAGATTTTTCCGGTGAAACCCCGCTCATGTTCATTCCTTTGTGCAACATATTGTTAATGTTCTCCACCGCTTCGTCTTCGGCGTGGATTTTTCTCAGCGCATTGCTCACGATGCACAAGTCGCCCCTTAGCTCTGATACCAGTGCCACTATTTTGTCTGTGTTGCTCAAAATCTCCACGCTCTGTGTGTACGGATTATAGCGTACGCCGAACGGTTTTTGAATACTATCTGCGAACTCTCTGAAACCCACACATAATTATACATTAAAAAACGTGGAAAATAAAGATAATTGTCGGTGACCCGTATTTCTTAAAACCTGCAGGATTGTTTCAAGCTTATGGACACCCGAAACTTAGGGGCTTTATTAGTAGACCAAAATATACCTAATGTAACTGTACAAAATGCATTAATTATTTATTTAACTTTTTAACATTACCATTTACCTAAGATTTTTTATTTTTAGATTGCCTTATTAATAAGTTACAACTTAAAATATAAAGTTGTAATTTCTATTATGTAGTCCTTGCAAATGAAATCCCTTTGCACGTGCCTACAAATAGCAAAACAAATAACCTATTTTCATCTACAAAGTATGGCTTAGATTAAAAAAAAATATTTAGTTAAAACGTTATTGATTTTATTTTAGGAAATTTAAGTTTTTATCAGTTTTTATATTTATCTTTGTTGGGAGATGAAACGTTATTACATTTTATATTTTTCGCTATTAAAAATGTAAGTGTTAAAGTATCAAAATGTATTTTTGTTTTATGAACATTTTAAAACTAGACATTTAACTTTACTATTTTAATTAAATATTATTCTATATGTTTACAATTTATTATACACGATACTGAGAATGTATTATTTAAATTTAAAAATGCTCATAAGGTCAGAAATTCAGAATTCAGAAATTTCTCAAAAAAAAAAAAAATTATTTATCGAGAAAAAAAAGCGATAAAGAGTTCCTCATATTTAATTTACTATTCCCATATTTGACACATCAATAAAACAATTATTTTACAAAAACAATTATATATTATAATATAATAATCCGAGGTTTTAGAAATTATATCTAACTATCGTGATCATTGATTTTTCAATTATTAAAGCGGGAACTGTATATGGGTTCATACTAATATTGAAAATAGAATTACAGTGGTCACTCCATAATTCGAACCTCGATAATTCGAAAAACTCCATAAATCGAACTAAATGCTTAGTCCCATGAGAAAACTTCTATAATTAAAAGAAAAGACATGTATGCCAGTCCCTTCGATAATTCGAAATATCTGTTGGTGGGACTCACTTTACAATTAAAATTTTTTTTTCTAGAACCCCTATAATTTGAATTTGCTTTAACGCGATTATACGTATGTTCATATACATTTATACATATTTATATTTATACATATGTATAAAGTATATTCATACGTTCATCTATTTGACGTACTCGCAATGAAATTTATAACGACGGCAATTAAATATTATCGTAGTTTATAAATTTTATCGTACCTTTTTAATTGTTCACCTCTCATTAATTAGAATTAATTTTTTTCCTTCGATTATTCGAATACTCGGTAAATCGAAAATCTCTAAAAATCGAATTTTTAGCTCAGTCCCCTGAATTTCGAATTATCGAGTGACTACTGTATATACAAATGAAAGTATAAAACGAATCCACATGTTAGAACCTATTCTTAGACTAATGTTTATATAATATGTAAGAATATATTTATATTTTCAATAATACATCGTTTACGAAATTTAGCACCAAATGTGAATGGAAAAAACTTGAAACCAAGCTTGCTTAGTTGAAACACGGCTCTTTGGATAGGCAATTCTGGTACATTCATGACTATAAGTGATTTTTTTTGCACCATACACATTACCAGTCATAATTTTACAACTCATTGACATTTTACAATTATACCAGTGCAATTCACTTCAAAATATTGTTGGTCTGATATTGTTGTTACTTGGCGTTCGATAATTTTTACGTACGAAGCGATGAGTTTTCATTAAATTTTTAAGTTTGATATTTACTTTAAATTCTAGGTGAGGGTTATTTTATATTTCTTCATTATTTTCCGTGGAACAATTCCTATGTTAGGTTCACATTTAGTAAATTCACAAGATATGCGTACTTTAAAGATAAGAAATTGGACATGAATGGAACTTTAAAGAGGTGATTTTTCTATTTCATTTTTCCTTGAATCGAAATTACCTCATTTTTTCCTTTGCCTCCTCGAATGTCTCACTGTAATAGTATGCGTTTTGATAAGAAGTTATAATGCATTCTTGGTGGACCGTAATTTCGGGATCAAATCGTATAATTTTTTCCTTGGTTTCGATCGCATGTCGTAACTCAGCTACGGAACTCAACAGTCCAGCTCCATAAACTTTCATCTCTCCATCTTGTTTGCACATACCAAACTCCACTGTAAAAAAGTACAACTGGAAACAAAATTATAATTTTGATAAATTAATTCGAACGAATAATAATTTAATTCGTAAATTACATACAATTATTATGTTTTGATTTATAAAATACAATTGTCGTAAGGCAACGCAGGTTTGGTCAGTATTTTAATTAAATATCTTACAATTGTATTTCGTATATATATATATATATATTATATAATATATATTATGTGTAATATATATGTCTTGATTTGTAATAAAGTTATAGAAAATATCTTCGTGTACTGCGGTATTAAAAAAACGAGTATTTTTGTATATTTGTTATTAAAAATAGTTGCTCTCGTGTATTAAAAATATAATTAGAAATAATATGTTTTTGTTTTTTACATTTAATATATCATTAGTATTGCATGTTGATTATCTATAGTATTTAAATAAAATATGTGAATCTTGTAATTTTTATTCGAATAATTATCTGAGATAAGTATAATCTAACATATCTTATGTCTAAACTCTAAATCTTATCTCTAAATTATTTCGGTCAACCTTGCAAGACATGTTACGACCGTAGTTTATTTTGAGTTTGAACTATTGCCAATGCACCAATACCGATACCGATACCACGGCTACGGTAGTATCCGGGCGCGAATCACATGCAGCAGCATCGTCTTACCGTGGCTAGTTTCTCGATGTCCTCGTCACTGGCACCCAGAGAGTTTAGCCCTAGCTCCTGCGAGAACTGTGCGAACATGGGGTTGGCCAGCAACGGCATGTGGCCCAGGAGTTCGTGACAGCAATCAGGTTCTGGCGTGTAAAACGGATCGGATGAATGACGTATATATTGAGTGCAGTGAAACACGCGGAACGCCAATCCGGAAAGAAAATCCCTGGGAGATAAGTAGCCGGCCACCGGTCGTAACTGAAATCCGGTTTTGCCTGAAAGTGCAATGGTGGTGCGTTAAGTTGTACGTTACCGAATTATCTGCGTCGAAAACGCATATTATACGTATTACACTTGAGCGAAACGCAATGCTACCGGTCACCCGTGCAAACCATGCACTTTTCAAACAGATCGTCTCGTTTTTTCCGAACACACGTAGTACACAATGGTGTATTTATGAAAATTTTATGATTTTCATCCCTTCCCCTTGATGATTTCTAGACCTCAAATTTTTAAATTCCAATCAATTTAAAGTTTGTTTAACTTTGTAAATTTAAATAAAGGAAAATTTTTAAAATTTATAAATTTTATTAATTTTATAAAAACTAATAAAACATGGGTACGATAATAATATTAGTGTTTTAGACTGTGAAAGTCAAACACACATTATACACTTTACAGGTTAATGCTTATTGTTGTAGCCTGTAGTTCGTAGAAAACTGTTCTCTACTTATTGCGGAGACAGTTGGATGAAAATATATCATCATTACTATTTCTACTACTTATTCTATCAATCGTTTTCCATGATAATCTATTAATGATTAGATATTATTGATAGCCAACTTTTATTTTTGTTATTCTCATATTATTTTTATTATCATTATATATGAAAATATATTTGATTCCTGTTTCTTTTATCTTTTATCCAAAAATAAAATTAATAATACATATATGTATATATTATATCATTTTATATTTTCAATAAGATGATAGTAAAACAGATACAATTTAATTTTAACCATTTTATACTGATTTATAAAAAAAAAATCTGATAACCCCCCTCCGACTTAAAAAATTGTTTGTAAATACGCCACTAGTTATACATATTGTGTATTGTTTCAAGTAAAGGTCTTTATTTCACATATATCTAAGAATACGTACATACGTGTTTTTATAGAAACGGTGTTAAAGCCCGTGTAATTAAAGTACACGTGTACACGTGTATTTAGTAGGGCTTGAAATTGAAATAAAAAATTTCGAGTTTAATTTCCATTTTGATTATTGATATGATTTTTTTTTTTTATTTCGATTTTGGTTTCAAATATTGATATTTATTTTTTGCAATTTCGTTTTTGATTTCGAATATTGATATTCATTTTTCTCAATTTCGGTTTCAAAAATTGGTATTTATATTTTTTCGATTTCAGGCTTACAACAGAATGTTATCCATGACTTATAATAATTTTCCAAATTTTAGTACGTCATTAGCATAATAGTGCTATAGGCTGTAGCAACAAGCTACTGCTATAGGTAGTATATATTTAAATCTATTTTTTTATTACCTATATTATAAAACATTTCGTACAAACTACAATTATTATTAAAATGTAAAATAAAGTTTTTTATTTATATATTCAGACATAATTCAACTAAATATGAGAACAATGTTTGAAATTATAAGTGAGACAAATATGATGACGCCTAGTAAAACTGTAAAAGTACAAAATAGAATTATTTTAGATTATTTGATTGTATATTATTGATTAAAAGTATAACTCACGGGTGACAGCCAATGGAATATTATAAATTAATATGTAATCTATAATAATACACTACAAAATGTCCATATGTAGTATATTATACGGAATAAATCGTGTGTATAAAAACAACAATCGCTCATCGAACGATCATTCCCTATTGTAAATATTCTAAGAAAACAAAATAGGTACTAGTTATTTATTATTATGTATAATCAATATTAATACCAATTATGGCAATGTCTACGATTTGACAATATAAATAGACTTGTTGGCTATTGAATTTTAAATTAATTTGATTTAAAATCATTTTTATTATTAAAATAATTTTGATTTTGATATAAAATATCAATTTTAACTTTTTTCAATATTAATTTTGAAAATCATTACCAACCAATAACAATTTTGGTTTCCTAGAAGATTTTTAACGATTTTTATCGATATTTGAAATCGATTTCAAGCCCTGGTATTTAGGTCCATGTACCCGTGAATTATAGAATTCGTGTGCCCGTGTAAAGTGTTTTTAATATCCATCTATAATTAACACAATGAATTTGCGATTGTGTTGTTATCTTTATTATTTAATACCTACCTTACTAACACACGGGTAGATACAATTTTAATAAACGTATACACAAACTTCAAAAATACGTGTAATAAAATACACGGGTTTTCATAAATTTTACTATTTAATGTATGGACTATGGGTGCACGTGTATATCAATTCACGGACCAGACCAAGAGCCCTAGTTTCAAGTAATTCACATCGGGTAAACTATGCGAAAACAACCACTTCGTTCGCTCTACTCGCATGAGTATTTAGTATATTTCGAGTGTGCAGCGTATTCCGTGCCAACGTACATATTTATAACTATCGTTTTTACTAATACACACACACATATATATATATATTTATATCAATCGGAACACTTACGTTTCAAAAACGTGTTAACGTCTTGTAGTTGCGGAATGTTATCTTCCCGGTAGCCACAGTATTTCACCAGTTCCGGCCAATTTTCCAAGTACTCCCTGCACGCGTATTTTACGTACAATTTGTGAAGTTCACGCATTACGGTACCCCTGAAGGTGCACGAAGGTTAAACAATTATTATATAATGTAACATTTTCGATCACCGAGAGGAGAAAGACAGAAAAAAAAAGGCAACATTTAACATCCGGATACGGGTATATATATCTCGAAACCCATCGTAGTGATTAGTTATATTTTGAAAAACTGCGTGTTCGCGCGTGCCATTATTGATATCATTTATACACGTGCAACGATTTCGCTCTTGGGATATTTATTTCGATATTATAGTTAATGATGACTTTTAACGTGCAGCAATCGGTCGGACCGGATCAATTTACTTTCCTTAACAGCATGTTATGATCATTTTTATTTTATTTTAAAAATTGGACTCCCAAAACAGGGAGTTTTTTTTTTAAACTGATATATTAATATATATACTGTCAATTCTATAAAAATAAAACTATTAACTATTAACTGAAAATCGCATTAGAATAGTTGTTACGAAGCGCGTTTTATTAACAGGACAATAATCATTATCTTATAAAATAATTAAATCTATGAGGTATTTGTTGTGTGTGACCTCAGAAGTTGAATGGAAAAAGATATTAAACAACTGTGGCGGGATCAGTGTCATCGCAACTTAGGTTATTCCCTAAGGTCTCACACTTAAAATTAATTCGAAGGTCCACAATTTATCAAGTTAGATTAATTAGATATATTTAGGTGTAAGGAAATTGTACTGATTTTTCCTGGAGCCTCGCAGAAGCTTACGATGGCATTGGAGAGGGGAGGTAGTAAGGTGGAATACGAAAATAAGTCGATGACAGATTTTTGAAACTGCATTTAAAATACAATCGTATTTTAAAAGAGCGGAAATAAAACCAAAACGTCAGGGTGCACCGTGATGAATGTGTTGAGATTATCCTTCGAACAGTACATTATGCGTGGGATATTATTAAATCAGTTTCGGTACACGTCTTGACGATTTTGATTCGATTAAACGTTATCAAGATACCTATTCATAAGACAGGCGAATGTGTCATATTATACACGAGCGAAATAATAATATTAATAATAATAAGTTCACACTAACACGTACAGTGTCATAAAGTCTATTTTTGCGACACAACTATTGCGAAACTACGCGTATACGATTGGATGCAGTTGTACATCACGCGCGCATTTTCCGATAACTCGATATAAGATTGCCAGCTTTGGTGTATTTTACTTAATTAGCGCGTACATGCAAAACGTATAGCGCTTGCATTTCGCGATAAATCAATTATATGTAAACGAACACGCATACATTGCGTCCATAAAATGTTGATACATACACACCTCGGCGGTTCGTTCAAAAAACGTGTCTGCACACATTACAAGTTTTATCACGCGTACGTATCTTAGTAGTTGTAGCCGATCGAGAGAAAAAACGCGCGTCAACAGTACTATCTGGCGGGGAAGGAGGCAGTGTGTTCATTTACACCCCTTGAAAATTATATCCATACTCATGGTCCAAGGGTTAATCGATACTTAAGGCTGTAAGCTTTGCTTTTAGTTGATCGCAATTACATTGTATTCCAACAATTAAAAATGTGCAAAAAAAATGATATATTATCGGTAACATCCGGTGTTATATAAGTTATTAATTTTATTTCTATTATTCATAAATTATATTAATGTAGTTTTCAAACAAAAGAAATTTTTACTATTTGCTGACGACTTAAAAATATATAATACGATTAAAGACATTAACGACTGTTATAAAATTCAAGAAAATATAGATAGATTTTCCCATGGTAAATAATGATATAATCCCAAAACATTTAATCTGCATTAAAGTAACATATTGTTGGATATTATTTAAAATAATTTATTTTATTATGTAATTTCTATAAATAAAATCATATTAAATTGTTGTTCAATATTTTGACCATTATTGAACTGATGACGCATGGACCAGACTAAACTGATTTTTTTGTTTGTGGACAAGGGGACCGAACCGGACTAAACCAAATTAAATAGAAAAACACGAAGACCGAAAAAAACTGGAACGGTCTAGACCAACTAAACTACGAGTATATTATTTAGCAGAATTCGAGTTCAACGAGAGACTATTTTTCATGATTTATGACGTTCCTCTACTAATGGGGCATTCTTGTACGTTTTTTTTTTTTTTTTTTTTTTTTTTTATTTTAGGTATAAATTATGAGAGTTACGCGCTTTAATATAATAACGTCCTTCTACATTTATTTCCAATTCGATTATATGGTTAAAATGTATGAGTATACGCACCAAGTCTTAATCTCTTCTGCGGTATACTGAACTCTTGGTATTGGATGTCCGCTGAAACATATTTACGTTCGCATACCATAACATAGTAACATAATAATTATCTTTTTCATAAAAGTTTAATGCTTTTAAAAAGTATCACGAGAAATTATTTTTAAAATAACATCAATCATGTAAAAACATGCCATATTATGTAGAAGAACTTGTAATACATAAAATTAAGAAATATGTACTTAGAATATAGTTTGCTAAACACAATTAATTACAATTCATGTGATAATTATAATTTATATGAATATCCATAAATATATTTATGTTTAATCGACTTACTATTTATATGTGTTCGCTATGTTTGCGAATTCTACTCGCCTCTTCCGGTACACCGGATCCTTAAACCCCTGAAAATTATTATGAAGTTTGCACGACAGTGTCTGAAGAAATTTATGTTATAATTAAAAATTTTTATTTTGTACGAATTACTTACTGGATGATCAGCATCTAATTCCGTTCCGTACATAAGTACTCTTTGAGCTCGATCTAAATCAGAAATTTTTTTCGGAAACCAAGGAACTTCAAATTCTGAAAAATCTAATAATAAAAAATGAAATTGTTTGAATTAAAAATAGTTGTGAATATTTAGGAATTTCTATAATCGGAATCATATAATTTTCATTCAGATCATTAAATCATAAATTATTAAAATGTATATCATTTTGATAATTCGAAAGTAACGAAATAAATTGAATTGTATCAATTTTATTATTTAATATTATAATTATTTTTTTTTTTAACAAATAAGGTCTTAGAACTTTCGTAAAAGTGGCAATAACTAATATTTATTATATTATATACATGCAGTAGGTATACATGTTATTAGTCAATATTAGTTTATTATTAGTGTTATTTTAGATTTTGAATCGATATATTTGATTTAGTAAGTACCAATATTATATACTGAGGCAAATAAGAATTTACATATTCAACTTAGCGAAAATATTTTAATGTATATGGTTAAATATATTTTTGTATAATATACATGAATTTTTAATTCAAATACAAATACTTATTCGGACACTTTAATGAGATGATTTTTAAATATACTTGTTACGTTCAAGATATTATTGAACTATTAAAAAAAAATAAAAAATTCCGATTAAAATAATATAATATCTGAAAACTTTATTTGTAGCATAATATAACCTCAATAATTTAGAATTGTGAATTGTATTGTACAGAGTTTCGCTCGGAATCGTTTTTTTTTTTTTATATAGTAACGATTTATCATTTTTCAAACATAATGACACCCACCACGATGATTAACTCCGATTTCTGTATTTTACCCAAGACATGTTCATACGTATACCATTTCTACCAACATTTTATCGAATTTATGTGCGCACTGTTTCTTTCGTTTTCCTCGAAACTTTTACTTTTATGGGTAACACAACAACTGATATTGCATTTAATACGTTGCTCTTACCAAAACTGGCGGTCGCCGACATAGGAGTTGGTGGCGGTACTTCTCCACCACTTTCATACGTCGCCAGATTTATAGCAGCCACCTCACGCTTCAACATACCAGTCAATTGCTCCATTTTCTTGCTGTCGCATTCCACGTCGACCAAGATTTCGAATTCCGATTTGCTACGACGAGATGGTCTAGATTCGATGTGCAATACATTTACTCCCAAGTCCTAATTCATTCGTGGTAACATCATATTATATAATATGGTTGCACTAATAAAACATAGTTTAATTTTGTATAATTTAAGAAGAACAATTATTGTTATACGACAAATTGTTATTTTTTTTTAAATGTATTTATTGCGCATTTACTTTCTAAATTTCGAGTATATATTAAAATATTAAATTATTTTTATTTTTTTATATTTTTGATAATGAAAACAATATTCCATAAATGTTTCAAAACAAATTTTTTTGTTTGATGTGTACAAAGTTAAAATAAAAATTTTGATTGTATAAATTAAGAAATACCTCCAATAAGATCGATAGTTGATTATTTTATCGGGTATTTATATATTGAAAATTAAATTAAACGATTTTCAAATAATGATTGTGCTCTATTGCTGTAATCATCGTTGTAATAGAAACAAAAAGAGCACCAATTTATATCAATAAGGCACAAAAAAAGCCAAAAATCAATCTATCAATGTACTTGTTTAGGTATAATAAGTCGTAAAAAATTGAATACTTTATTAGTAAAGGACAGTCTGTCTTTGCATAAAAACAAATATTAGATTAGGAATTTTAACAAATAGATTATATTAAGAATATAATATAATTATAAGTAATTATATAATTTTAAATTAATTTTATTATTTTTCTCGTCAATGTGAATCATAAGCATTTAAAACTCAAACGGTTTTTCATCAATTTTTATAACATATGTATATATGTTTTGAATTAGTAAACCGTATTGACGGTGATAAAAAATAAAACAAATTTGGAATACGGAATTAAATGTTTTAAAGTATTATCTCAGTGTTAGACTATCTTTCAACAATATTTATATATACTAACTTGAAAAACTTGCAAAGCTCGAGCAAGTCCACCGACTTGGTTTTTTAGCGAAAATATTACAGAACTCCTGGAGTCAAATCTTGTCTGATCGGATCGTCCACTTATCACTCTTGCCTGAAATATATTTTGTAATTTAGCCACGTATGATTATTTTACCCAATTCTGAAGTTCAGTGTTTTTAATACATCTTCTTGAGACGCCTCTCTTAGAGTCCAATCTTCTCCGGTTCGATAAAGCCAAAGGCCAAGAAGACTTTTTCCGGAGCCGCTCATTTAGAACCAATTGAACACTGCAAGTCGAACGTAATTTCTAATTGATGTTAAAAAATAAAATAAAAACGTTTAATTATATTTCTAAGTTTTATACATTTATATTAATATAAATAATAGTTAACTATTAGTTATGTTATAATAAAATAAATTTCATATTTATAAAATTAATTACTTTATTCATTTTTGTATATAAATACAATGAAAATTAGTTATTCGAATATTTTAAATTAATTGATTAATTTTGGTACAATTGTTATAAAACGAGCAATTTCAATCAGAATGTATTACATCATCATCATAACATAATTTTTAAAACTAAAAAAATGATCAAAAATCAAATTCCAACCCAATAAAAATTTATAAAGTATCACTTCATTGGAAGCCAAAAATAAGACTTAATATGATGTATTATATAAATTCACATGTTATTTTAAATATTAATATAAATTTTACAAGTCTACTATTATCAGTCAAATATGTTCATTGATTAAATATACAATATATGTATTGTATATTTAATCAATGATATGTTAAATTTTTATACATTGTTCATTGCCCTTGTAAAAAGAGAAAAAATATATAAATAAGCATACTACATCGAAAATATAAATACAGTAGTCACTCGATAATTCGAAATTCAGGGGACTGAGCTAAAAATTCGATTTTTAGAGATTTTCGATTTACCGAGTGTTAGAATAATCGAAGGAAAAAAATTAATTCGAATTAAAGAGAGGTGAAAAATTATATGTATATATTACATTTATTAATTGACAATTATTTATTATACATATCATATTATATTTTACATTTATTAAGTGACATTTATTTATTATATTACCTATTATATTTTATATTTTAAAGAAATCTGTTCTTTTTTTTTATGTTAAACTTTTGGCCACAATCTGTTCTATAACGTTATCTAACTTACTGATAGCATTGAAAATTGTATCGCATCATTTTTCGTCCATTTCAAAATGCTCAAAAATTTTTTGCAATCTTTACATAAAAATGGTAAAATTATACCATTAAAGTCTAGATTAGGCAGGTAAGGTATGATAAAATTTATAAACTACGATAATATTTAATTGCCGTCGTTATAAATTTCATTGGGAGTACGTGAAATATAGATGTACATATGAACTTACGTATAACCGCGTATAAAGCAAATTCGAATTATAGAGGTTCTAGAAAAAAAAATTCGAATTGTAGAGTGAGTCTCACCAACAGACATTTCGAATTATCGAGGGGACTGGAATACATGTATTTTCTTTTAATTATAGAAGTTTTATCAGGGGACTAAGCGTTTAGTTCGATTTATGGAGTTTTTCGAATCATCGAGTGACTACTGTAACATTTATTACTAGGAGCTTAGTTTCAACTGTTATCACACATGCAGTGACTACATAAATCATAAATTAATATTTCACATTGATATATTGACTGGTGGAAGATATAAGGAGTTAAGTGACAAAAATGTACATCACGAAGCAACTGACAGTTAAGACAAGCATTCGATCGTATAATCGCTCGTGTTCTTTGTACCATTTAGCAATAATATAATTACTTTATAAACTACAGTACAATCAAATCAAATTAAAAATATATGGGATAAGCAATACAAGTTGAGACCAAAAGCCATGTGTTTGTCGCTTGGTAAACACATTTTTTATTCGTATAATTTGTTACTGGTATACGAATGATTTAACTATTGGTTGTTTGTGTACACTATGTTCCTTAACTCATTTTGCCTCTAGCCAGTCGATATTATATGTGTTATAAAGTAATAATAAAATTAATCACTGCGTAAATTAGATAATCTTTTAAAATTGTATTAAAACCGTAAAATAAATTTTAAATTCAAGACAAGTCAAAAATAAGATAAGTGTACAGGTAAATTTTTAGATAAAAATATTTGTAGGTTTTAAATTAAATTTCCTATTTAAAATAAATGAAATATTCAAACGAGTTATATTTATATTATTATTCAGTACGATGGACACTCCAATATTTACTTCTTCACTACATATTGATTTCATTTTGATTAATTAATCTTTATTCATACGCTAGTACCTCATTGATAATAGAAATAATATTATACATGAGTTCGTAAAAAATAAATTGAATTCATCAATTTCAGTTCATGAAGAAACTATAAGATTAAGTGTGTTATCGGAGAATATGTTTGTATTTTATTACGTTCAACTACCACAAGTCTAAAACAAAACAAAAAAATAAAATAAAGTACAATACATTACATAGGAAATGTATAATGTATTTGGTTGTTTATCTCAGATTGCATTCTCTATAAATGAACGCTTTCCAGTCGTTTCCCCCATATTTCAATGTCGCTACGAAAATCTTAACTTATTCAAATCGTTAATCATTGTTTTCAATTCGTTTGATTATTTTCACTCTTGGCGTATACAAATGTTGAGAATACAATTTTAATTTCCAACTTTATTTAACTATAATAGTATTGTAATGCATTGTTTTTAACATGAAAAAAAATCGATTATATTGAGAATAAATAAATGAGCGTAAAAATAATTATTCACAAAACGATACGCTTTAAAAATTATAACTTGTTTTTTATTGCTAATTTGATTTTACGTATATCTTCAAATTGAAAACAGTAGTGATATCGTTATTTATTCGAGTCAGTTAATCATCCGTATTGTTTTATTCGGCCATATTTCAATTGGTCTGCAAAAGATGAACACGCGATGAAAAGAAATTAAATGTAATACAAAATTGAATCATGTCATAATTACTATTAATACAAATCCGACCGTTGATATCAGTTCGTTAGGGCACGATTTCTCTGGGTAACTGAACTGTTAATATTAATTTAAGCAAATTTATTTTTTACAACGGTTGCGCTCAAAAGCTCAAAAATCAACGGCTATGAGTTCGTTAAAATGAATTAATCATAACACTGTGTGTACGCTAATATTTATAATCTATATGAGTGTTGAAATTTAAGACGCTGTAAGTGTTACACAGATCTCGATTTTGCGTCTACGTAGTTTTACATTTACTTAAACTTCAACTAACCGATCAAACTGTTAGCGTTGCAGTCAACACTCCCAATGCGATCAAAGATAATAAATGTAAAATATTTATTAGTTTATATATATATATATAAATAATAAAACAGTTTGAAAAATATAGGTACCCGAATAAATGCAAAAACGTGGATATCAGATTTGCGATAGCAAAATCTTGTCTCGTTTCGATCAATTAAGTATAAACAGTATATTCAGAGTTTTGTAATTATTATTTTGATTTCAAAAAACTATAGCAACTAATTTCAGGTAAACCTTAACACAAAACTGTAAAGGTAAATCAAAGACGGACGTTATGGTTGGTTTTTTCTTAATATGTTCTGAAAAAAATCGAGAAATATATAAGAAATATATAATAAACAGATTTTAAGCATTAGCAATAACAAAAATGTTCAATGTGTTATGATTTCAGCGTAATACCGGAAAGTTTTAGAGTTTTCAATCTCCTTGAATTAATATGCAATTTTTTTTCGAAAAAAAATATTCATGAAGTAACAAATAATCGTATGATGTATATTATTAAAATAAATGTATTCTACTACATAACACAATTATAATATTTAAAATAAAATCAGGACTCCAATTAAAAATTAAATATAATTTTTTTTTTATTTTGAGATATTTTAAGATTATTATATTATAACATTTCTTCTATGTAACTTTAGTTAAATCTTAAGATTAATATTATGAAAAACTGAAATACATTTATTGCATTATGTTGAATTATTTTTAAAATATATACTTATTAAATAAAAATAAATTTCATAGGTAGAACGAAATATAATTTTTGAAACCATTCGAATACTTATTTATTACTTTTAATTATTTATTTAAGTTCCATGTGCGAGTAATGTTTATCGTTGTATCTTAAATTTAATTTAATGATCAATTTTTATTTTATTGTTACTGTCCAATTTATTTTTTTTGTTTATATTTTTTGGTTATTCTGTTACAATATTATAAATGCCGTTTTGAAACCTTTAATAGAGTATATTTAATAAGTAAGTATTTTTAAATATATAAATAATTTATTAAAAATAATTAAATATCAATATAAATTAAATATAAAAAATATGAGCTCTTTTTTTCGAAGCATTGTAACGACCGGTTTAAAATTAAAAAATCATCTTCAGATCGAAAACTAATTTAATTATTTATTAATTGTTTGATTTAAAAGTTTATTAACCACAAAATATTTTTACTTGCGTTATTATTTTTTACAGAATAAAAATATTATTTAGAAAATAAATCAACAAACCATATATTATGATAATATATATATAATGATATAGTTGAACGTGCCCGACTAAAACTACTACGCCTTCCTAAAAATAATTAAAACTCAATCTATATAATCCCCAGTATCGATCATAAAATTAAAATTGTTTAAACAATAAGTGGTATAAGTGAAAAACATTAAACAAACATTGTAATAGCACAGGAGCTTATTGTTTCTTTTACCATTTAGCAACTCGAACGCTTGTAATTTCATATCATAGTATACATATATGTTAATCAATATGAATAAAATATGGAGAATGGGAAATATATCGAATCTTGAATGGATTACTGTGACTATTTAGTGTTAAGTAGTATGTTACTAGTCGAAATTTATAAGCAATAGATAAACCATAGGGTTCAATTACTTATTCCGTCTTTACAGCAAAACTTGATACGATAAGATGAAGATAAAAATATATCGTATGAAACAACATATTGTATAGTAAATATGCTATTTTTAATATCCTTGTATCAACTAAGATATCACACGACTGCACAAAGAGTTATAAATACTTTAAAAAATAACGCAATTATAGTAAATATTATACCTACTAATAAAAATATTATTAAAAAAAATAAATAAATAAATAAAATAAAATCAAAGTAATAAATGAGGGATATATATTATTAGAATATAGATATATAGTTCTAATATTATATCACAATTAACATTAATCAAATCATAGACATTATAAACATCATTATTATATTTTTATTATTATTATTTATATTATTATATATTTTTTTTTTTTTTTTATTTTATAATATATTCGTGGCTTCTATGGCCATTGGACGTTACAATTTTTTTTTTTAACTTAATACATAAAATAAACAAATAAATTGGTGCAGGTTGGTTACAGGAGATTGATGAGGTGTGTATTTGTGAGGAATTGGCAGAGCTTGACGATATTGTCTGGTTTGGGGCTTAGTGATTCTGCCAGGTGATAAGATATCTGCTGCTTAATTCTCTCCATATTGTGTGCGTTACATTCGGTGATTATATGTTTAACTGTAAGGGGGACCCCACAGCATATGCAAATGGGGGGGGGGTCCTCTTTTTTCATTAAGTGTGCGTGTGTAAGACGTGTGTGTCCGATTCTGAGGTGGTTAATAGTTGTCTCGTATTTTCTTGGGGTGTTGACAGGAAAAGTCCAGAGTAGTATTGATCTTTTAATTTCATTAAGCTTCGTGGTCATATTGTTCCATTGTGTTTCCCATTGTTGACATGTATCCCTTTTGATGACCTTTTTTATATCGCTGTAAGAGAAGAGATAGAAGTAGGGAATATTAGTATTTGTGTGAGCTTGTTTGGCGGCCTTGTCCGCACGTTCGTTACCATCGATGCAACAGTGACCCGGAATCCATGAGTACGAAATGTTTTTGCCTGATAGATGTGCTTTATAGTGGGCGTTATGAATTTTCCTGACTACTTCGGTAGGTTTTTGGACATATTTAAGACTAGTAAGAGTAAATAGTGAATCACTATAAATTGTGATATTGTTATTATTTATTTCTGAAATAGTGTATTTGATGGCTTTGAAAATAGCTAGAGCTTCAGCTGTATATATGGAGCATTTTTCCGAGAGTCTCCATTGGATCTGGTTGTCATAATGAATGATGGCTATACCAACTCTGCCCTCCGAGAGAGAAGCGTCAGTGTATATTTGTGTATGAGTATGAGATAGTGAGAGTTTTTCCTTGATAGGTTTTTAAATGTATTGGGACATGTGGACTTTTTTTTGGAAATTGGTGCAGGTCTAGGTCAATATTCATTGAAAAAGACCAATGTGAATATAAAGGTGTTTCAGTCGGAATTATGTTTTTGAGATCGTATTTAGTGTATATATTATTAGAAGAGTATTTAGGATGATATGTGCTGTCTCGTGGCAGTATTGACATTTTGGCTGCTGTTTTGGACGTTTGTTCTTCCCATCATGTTGCTAGAGATGGAATGCCTACTATTGCATGGATGCTAGGAATGGGGCTGGAGCGGAAGGCGCCGATGGATAGACGAATTCCCGTGTTGTGTATAGTCTCCAGTGAATTTAAATGAGAAACTTTGGCGGTGGAGAATAAAGGAGTCCCATAATCCATTTTGGAAAGGATAAAAGCTTTGTGTATTTTCAAGAGGGTAGAAGATTGGGCGCCCCAAGAGGTGTGTTATATTTTATTATACATCTTAAGTTAAGATGTATAACAATTAACCGTAACTCAATAAACACAATTATTATTGAAAATAGGCAAATCTAATATAAAGAAAATTTAATTCATATTTTATGTTTTAAAACCCAAACGTGTGTATTAGTTTTCGATACCAGTGTGGCAGATAGGTAACTTTAAAGAATCCTCTATTGAATTAAATAGTACATACATAGTATATAATACAATATTTTTCAAAACAAAATAAAAAGGATATAATATAAATTTGGACCCACTATTTTTTGTATAGGATCAAAATGTTTTGCTGAAAAATATATCTTAATTTTTTGCAACGTTTCTAATTAAACTCCATTCTATAACGTTAATAACCATTAATAATATAACGACGAATTTATTCTTACGGATAATCGATATTATAATTAATTTTATTGCCAGATGAAATAAATACACGAGAATAAAAATGAAAAAAGAACCACACTCGTTAGATCATCCATACACTCCTCGCTTTACTTAAGAGTAAAAAAATGATATATTTACAGTATATTTATTTTAAAATGCTAAGCAATTATACTGAAGAAATGTAACAATAAACGTTTTAACATTTATCAAGATAAAATCAACTATTATAGATACCTGTAGTGCAATCAACATGTAATATACAGGATTGTTTATTTTATAATTTATACCAATGCAAGTTTAATATTATTATATTAATTAAGTTTTTACCACGATCGTATACATTAAAATAAAATTTAAAACTAGTATTACTACCCATCGAGGGAGTTACTAAAATAAATAAATACATTTTTTTTTTCTATAATAATACATGACGGAAAACCTAAAAACTATTAACGCCCGCTTTAAACAAGCTGTTTCAGCTTATCAAAGACTAAATAGAATTTCCTATTTTCAATAAGTTTTCAAGTAACAACTATTTGGGCGGGGAGTTAAAAGCCTTGTAAGATCTTAAAAATATCTCTCAAAAAAAAAAAAACTTTTATTTGCCAAAAATTCAAAATAATGTGCTAACAACTTTTTTCTTTCAAATTTTCAGTATAAATAATATTTTACAATATTGATTAAGAAAGTTTAGTTAGTGTTTAAGGTTGCAATTGTCGAAAAATATAATTTTTGTTATTTTATCTATTTGATAGTTTGTTATATTGAAATAGAAATCCTAAAATTAAATTTAAAATTAAAATTTTCTAATTAAAAATTTTTACAAAACAACAAAATTTTCAAAACCATACACAAAATATGCAAAATAAACTATCAAACATCACTCAAAAGTAGATACTTGAACGAATTAGTGGAAATTCGAGCATTCTTTAGGAAATCAATGTCAAATACATCCAAATCTCAGCTCTAATCATTTGATTAAGGGTTGGTTTTAAACGGGTCTCAGTACAGTTTAAAATACGGAGATGGCAAAATATCCACAGTACGAATTATGTTTTATGATGTTATCGGTACGGGTCGCCGAAATTTCCGGCCGATCATCAAAAACGTGAAAAAAATATTACGTGTATCGTCGACGACTTAATAAAATCATCGGCTCATCGCATAATTTATTGTTATTGTAAATAATTTGTAGAAAACATGGTACTGACCTATTATCGTTGTTTTTTACGGTTTCGGCGGTGGCGGCGACGGTGACGGTAAACGCAACAGTTTCTCAGATACGACTGCTACGTAACAGAGTCGGTTATACAAGGTAATTGGGGATGGGATACGTGGTGGTGGCGGCTTGCCCTCGAAAAGAGCTTTCGTGCCTTTCATCCCTTCTGATCCTCGTCGTCCGCTATACACCGAGGGGGCGTGTAGAACGCGAGTAGCCGATTGGCCGGTGTCTGCCACCACACCGGACTCTCGAGTAAATATCGCGCGGGTGGGTGAGCTGCGCTGTTGGCGACGGCCACTGCAACGTGTCTAATGTATGTTAAAATAATTCCGAAACCGTATACAACACAAGAATCGTTTTATCTTTCGCCGCCGTTTTTAAATGCGTAAAACGCAATTGATTCGCGCCTGCACCGGTCGGTGGGGGGGGAGTGGTGGAGACATGAAAAAGGGACCAGAGATAGGTATAACCACTTGGATTTCATTAATTCCGCTACGTTTGGCACATCACGTTTAGTTGATAGAATCGCTGCTAGACAGACGTATATATAATATATATATTCGGATGCGGGACCTATATCCTGTAGGAATTATCACACTACCGAACCACACACATGCACACCTTTCGTATACCTCGTCCAAAATCGCCACACGATTGAATTATTTTTGTTTTTATTTACTCATTTAAAATCCTTGTCGAGCAAGGATATATACCTGTATAATATATGAGCCATCGCTTTTTAGGTGAAATCGTTGTATATTGATATGCTTCCTTATCAGTTTTGTGGTTTTAGTTTTATGTGAATACGTCTTATGTAAAATTGTATTTCTAAATGGTCTGTAATTAAAAAGTGATCAATAAATAAATTATAAAGTATCTTGTAGTTATTTAATAGTGTTGTTATCTGTAATAAATATAACAGAAATAAGAAAATAGGCTGAAAAAAATCGTAAAAAAATAATAACGACGTACTTTCTAATGGTATTTATTTTTATTAATTTCATGTTACATTCATTTATATTTTCAATCATTATTATCGAGCTTATCAGTGAGTGAATAGTATCTGAATATTGTGTACAGATAGATATGTTATTAATACTACGGCGGTTTGAAAGATCAAACGCGAATTGCATATATTTGAAGTGTAGCCGTTATAACTATTAAATTCCTGCAAAATATATTTGCATGACCAATCATCCTAAGTAATACTCTAACTGGAGTAGATGCAGATAAACTTATGATCTACATTTTTCAAAAATTGTAGCGTACTCCTGTACAAACGAAGCATGACTAGACATGGACTGCAATGAGAATGCGTTAGATGGAAATACGAAATATGAATGAAGGGCATATTTTTAGTTTCTTTTTTTTTTTCATGGACATATGTTACAAAGCAAGTACTTTTAAATAAGATACTAATGAATTGTTTATCATATTGATATGAAAAATGCATTTACTTTTTTTTAAATTATTTTGGATTAATTCGATTACTAATTTTCATTAGGTAATTAATTATTCTCAATAATATTAAGCATTAGATAGTTTTTTTTTTTTTATATGAAAGGGAGCTTCTCAATCTTAGCATATGCTTTGACAATGACCTATTAATCTATCGTTATGTACTTGAGAACATGATATGAAAGTTAAGTATAAGGCGTTAGTTGCTTTAGTTTCTCTCGTTCAGACAATCTACGGCTGTGCATGACTCCACGTTTTTCCTAGTTAAAAAAAGCCAAATATGCTCTATTTTTTTTAAACAATAACGTCACTCTACTGTTAATTTTAAATTAAAATAGTGGCTCTGAGCCAACTACTTTATGATCTTTACTGATTACATTACTACACAATTGCGATTAAATAAAATCAATTCTCCTGCGAAATCGACGATCGGCAACCGTGTTTGAGTAATTAAATTACCATAGTATAAATAATATTATGTATTGTAATATTATCTTTTATCAACGTAAAAAATATATTAAATACCTGTATCCTATTTATATATATATATATATATAATGAACTCATCACTACATTTATATACTCGTGTTTAACCAGTAAAAACAGAAATGAGCAAAACCAAATCAATATTATGAATAAAAACTAAAACAATTCAAAATAATTTAATTTGTGAAGAAATAAATAAAATAAATTGTGAATAAAATTAAATTTATATGCAACACAATTATAATAACACTGTAATATTTATAATAATTAAAATAAAAATATCAATAAAAATATTTGAATGAAAATTATTCACATAATTTTCGATAATACATAATAATTATGTTTAATACGGAACACACTGATGTCAATTGAGCTTGAATTTAAATTTACCAAAAACTAGAGTTAAAGAAGATTATGACATTTTACGAATATTTACTAAATTATTCATTATAATTAATAATGAATAGTATATATAATGAATAAATAGTTCTTGAATAATCGTTAACCCTTTTTAACGAATAAAAATAAATAAAAATAACCAAATGAATATTAAAAGAGCATAGAATAATTTTTTCGTACGACGAAAGCATAATTCTGCTGGTAACTGACGGGCGAATAGATACAACGAGGATATAAGGTGTTATGTTATAAACTTATGTTTAGAAACCTATAACTATGTATATATATACGTACACGTTTTTGTATTAGCAATATACGATTTATCATAATAAATTAAATTAATTAAATAAAAGCAGAAGATTCTGTTAAATTTAAAAAAAGAACTTTACAGGCGTCCCCCAACACCTGGAAGACAAACGTGGGAATGTGTACTATTAATAGTAGGGGTATGCAACAGTTTAAGAAAAAAAATGAAGGGTTGCTCAGTACTATTGCTCAATTCTAATACTGATTATTTCTTTGGATTGCACGACGCATATACCATATTAACATTGCTGATTGAATGAACCGTATATAGGGCGACTAGTGATGTTAAAATGACTACGAGGTATCGCTAATAAACGATATTGAGATCGGATGATAAAATATGTACAAATATGTCACTGGATTGTTTATTTTTTTTTCTGCGAAGTATCGTAAATTTCAAATCGGTGCACGTATATGTTGGAGCCCTTAATTTTGGATAAATCAACTGTTAATAGCACTCTGCCACGGCTTCGACTGTTTACAGATTGACAAGCTACGCGCGCGGTATTGATTGGGCCGAGACGACGACGATGGTTTACCGTACATAAAATATATACACTCTATTCTCGAGAGGGTTAGTGAATATCAATCCCTTTTATCCTTACCGTAAAACGTATTGTATTCGGAAAAGTTTTTTCAGATGCTAAATACGCATTTATTTTAATAGCAATCGGAGATCGACTGTCTTGCACAATGAGTTTCTCCATTCGCACATTATTCACAACCCACTGTTATTTGCACCCTGTAGTTGGCCGCGTGTTGCAGCGACCATTCGTCTTAATGCATTTACATTGTCTTTTGTGTTGACGATGACGATCAAGACGGACGTTTCTACGGTTTCCGTCGGTCTTTAATCGTTCAGTGGATGCAGTGAATTCGTATTGTTTAAAATGTAAGATGAATCGTCCGAGTTTTCATAATCAGACGATTATAGGAATTTTTTTCGTAATTTCAATCGTGGATATTATCGATATTTTTGAAGCATAATAATTTATCGTTATATTATCGTGACGCATATTTAAAGATCAGTGAATAGAATTTTAAAAAGTCTAAGCCAAATAAAATACTATTTACAACCGAGTTAGGCATTAATCGAATAAAAAGTTATTCAATTGTTATTGTTAAGTAATTTATTATAAGTGTTAACTTTTATTGATCATTTTAATTTTTATAATATTAACTAACTCATTATTCTAGATTTATCTATTTATTATAATTTATTATACTATTAATTATTATACAACCAATGTTAAGCATTATCTAGATAAATTATCTAAATAAATTATCCAGATATATTTTCAGTTATCTTTGCGTAACACTATCTAATGCCTCGACATATTTTTCAGTTACTACGGTTAGGCAGTGGCATTAATCTTACCATTATGGGTCAAGCATATACTAACAATGATCGAGTGAGTTATTTCAGAATTATTTAAAACATTTAATTAAAATTTAAAAATTATCGCACAATAACATATTACCGTATACTAGGAAACTTTTTCTACCACACTATCTCGGTTATGTTTACATTGGTCTTATGACTGGTGAGCATTCCATTTATTATACAGAGTTCAATGATTCAATGTCGGTTAATAGATTTTTGATTGCATTTTCTTTTAGGTAACAAATTCTATGACGAGTATTAATTATTTTATAAGCTTACTAGTTAAACGTTTTATAAGGTAATTAGGAGAATCGACGTATAGTTTTGAAACAGTTCTAATTCACAGTGGTATTACAGATTAAAAATAATCACGTAATAAATAGTAATGAAGATTAATAAAAGAAAGAGATTTTTTATTATATACAATGTATTTGAGATTAACAGTTACTTAAAACAAATAACACAAAAATGTATTGCAATATTTATTTGTGGTTAAAGAGACGACTGAAACAATTTTAGCACTAACTATTTACTTGTTAGATGTTAAATGTACATTAATAATTATGTAATATAAATTTTGAATCGGTTCAATTAATATCAATTAAGTTACTGGTGCAAAATGACAATTGCTGTTTTAAGTAACACAAAATTTCATTCCAGAAGAATGTTAACGGTGAACGAGAAAGTAGTAGGTGTACGGACATCATAGACAAAACCAAAATAAGATAACCCAGTACGACGAGTATGAATTACAATGAAACATAGTAATATTAGACTGACTTTTCAACTTGAGCTACAAGAGAAGATTACTGTCAACAATGAATAAAATCAAAGGTATCTGATTGTTACTAAGTCCGTAATAATAAACTGGTCTATTATCTAAAGATAATGTACTATAACCTAGTAATAATTATTTTCAGTTGATTTTGAAGCATAATAGAAGATGAAAGATGTAAAGTTGACATCTCTGAGAAGAGGTACGAAGAGTTCCAAAACATGGATAAAGTATACAAAACTACAGGGCATGAAACTTAATAATGGAATCGATAAATGTCGAACAAAGTAAAACAATGACTATTGTAACATTCGAAAATATGACATTAAAGATTTTCTTATAGATAATTAATATAAATTATTCAAAGATGTAAAATTGATGAAAAAATTTAAAATATTGTAAATTATAAAATTCAATAAAAAAATTGAATAAAAATATTAAAACATGAAAATTTTAAAATACTGTAAAATATTAAATTAAATTGATAAATCATAAAATATGAAAAAATTAAAATAATGAAAATTAAGAAATTGATGAAAATATGTAAAATTGATGAAATTATGAAAAAATGTAAAATTGATGAAATTTTGAAAAATTGTCAAATTTATGAAAAAAGGTTGAATTGTGAAAAATGTAAAATTGTAAAAAAATTTTAAAACTAAGAAAAAATATGAAATTTATGAAAAAAATGAAGAATTGATGAAATGTTGAAAAAATTACGGGAAAAATGTAAAATTGATGAAATGTTAAAAAATAGACAAATTTATGAAAAATTAAAAAATTGAGGAAAAACGTTAAATTGTGAAAAAATGTTAAATTGTGAAAAAAATGCAAAATCTATAAATTTATATAAAATTTATGAAATATTCATTAAATTATAATTATTCTTGTACGAAAAAAAATTACAAAAAAATCAAAATTTTTTTCTAAAGCTTTCAAAATGGTATCACAAGAATCCGAATGACATACTCTATACTGCCAACGTGTTTCAAGGGGCCCAATAAACGAATTGGACTGGTAGTGGTGGCTAAACGAGCATTTCACTCGCCGTAAACCTGCTCCAAGTACTTTTTTCTGGACAACAAGACCCCACCACCAATGTACGCTAATGTTATGCATCCAAAAGCATTCCAGACTTGGCGGAGATCCTAAAGAAGCCAGGCATATGAATATCTAAGACGTAGTACATAATTTCGATTTTTAATGAATTTTAAACCGATTCGTACCAGCACGGTGCATATTACGTCCGCAGCGGACTTCTTGTACGAAAAAAAATTACTAAAAATTAAAATTATTATCAGGAATACCTTAGTGCCAGGATTACTTTACTAACAGGATTACTGTCTTAGTGAGTGTGCATGTTTTTGCATATTTAATAGATTTTTCAGGAATGTGCTTATTTTAAAATTATTATGCTTTATTTTGCATATTTTGAAAATTTTAAAATTAAAAACTATAGATTCATATATGGTATAACTTAATAAGTTAAATAAGTTAATAAACTATATGTATATATTTGAACCGATCGAAAAAAAATATATATAAAAAAATATTTAATTTTACCATATATTTATTATACTTAATTTTTATTGGCACATCTTAGCGCATATATGGTTATTTTTAGGTGCATATTTGGCCATTTTTTTGTGCATATTTGAGTATTTTTTAGAGCTACAAATCCCTAAGCCTAACAATTACTAATTGATGCGATGCGTCTGAAAAATGACATTATTGTTTCGCCTCATTGTCTATAACAATGGAATGCTTTTAGTTTTGTTTTTTAGCTAGGTTCTATTTATGTATATTTTAAAGTACGAAGAATACTATTATTATATTATTAATTTGAAAAGTGGCTGTCGTAAACAAAAACAGGCAAATAACCACTGGCGTCTGACAATTACTTTGAACATTGGCCATTCGTTGTACTTCAAACAGGTACCTACATGATTATTATTCGGTAATGGGTACACTTGCTGAAGGGGAGAGACATGTACTTTAAACCGTACGAGTAAGCAGAATTTCGAATTGTAAAAAAATACGTCACCGTAATGCGCTGACATTAGTGGCGCGTTATACATGTGTGCGATGTGTGCAAATGCCACGGGCCCTTGGCTGGGGGGGGGGGGGTATTATTGCTCAAAATTGAAAAAAAAAAAAAAATTAAATAAATATAATTATGAAAAAATAACAAGATCGTTCACATAGTTCTCGATTTGATATAAATGTATAATTGTTATAAATGTTGTATTAAATTCGATTATCTTTACTTCTGCAAAATAAATAATAATTTAGGGTGACTACATTTTTTTTATAAAAATTAGCTTTCAGTGGTTTATCATTATCAGCCTTTTTCCACACCGATGGCTATATTATTATGTATAAAGTATACATATAATATAAACCTCTACGAATTTACACGACTAAAATATCGCAACGTATTTACTTAGTAAAGTGTACTATTTTATGACCCTTGTAGTCTCGTGTGTCATTGTTAAGAGTCAATACAGAATAATATACGACAAACTAAATTAAATATTTTATTTCATTAATTATAATTATAATGGCTTTAAAATTTACTAGTGGTGCTGCGAAACGCAAAATAAAAAAAAAAGAGAAGGATCTATTAAATGGGTAATGAAAATTGATACATTTTTCAAACAACACCATAACACAATGAATCAAGTATTTTGTCAAATAAAATTAATATTGTTAGTAATTCCATGATCCGATATTATTATATGCAATACATGTAACGTATTAAAAGTTCTTCAGTCTACAGTGATTTTTTTTACTTCAGCAGAAGAACAATTAAAAATCAATATATTTTATTTAACATTGGATAATCCAATAATACCATTAAAAGAACGTTTTACCAGTTTACGACATTAATTCTGATTTATCTAATGCTCTTGCTGATCAAATTTTGTCGTTCAGATTTTGTTTTAAAGAAGAAATTACAAAACGAACATCTGTAAAAGCAATTACTGAATTACTGGTTATAAAGAATCCCACATTAACAATAACATTTCTGAAATATGTACAGCGTATGATATTTTTAACACTCCACGTAACAGTTGCTACAGCGAAACATTCATTTTCAAAATTAAAATTAATAAAAAAACTATTTACGGAACAATGTGTAAAGAAAATTAAGTGAACTTAGAATTGTTTCTATTGAAAATGATCGAGCACTTTAATTAAATTTAAAAAAAATAATTAATAATTTTGTTGAAAAAAAAAGAACGCAAACGAAATTTCGATCGAACTATTATTATTATTATTATTATGTATAATTCCATATTATTTTATACATAATTTAAATGTCAATAAAAAAGCATGTACCTAGATTTTTATAAGATTTTATTATTTTAGAATAAAAATACTTACTTTAAATTTGAACTTATATAACTATAATTATAATATTTTAAATTAAAATATGAAGGGGTACTTTTTTTACTTATTGCACATGGGCTCATATTTGGGATGAACTGCCACTGGCTGATATTTTGATATTTTATTACAAATCACAGCATGGATCACAACACAGATCCATTGTTTAACAAGAACAATATTGCTTTGTTTTTAAGTTCTATTCTTACAATATGTTGATTTGCATAAAAATGCTTGAAAAACACAATCACTATCATTTAATTCAACATTGTTTGGTTCACTATACCTTTATGTAAATAAATATTATACAGTTTTATTTGAGAAATTTAAAACATAAGCATTTGGAGAAATTTTCAACTGAATTTAATCCACACATAGCATAAATTACTCCATAACAGATATATAATACATATTACATTCTTTAAGTTGAATATATAAACTAAAATAATTAGTTTTGGCAATTTAATAGTTAAACTTTAGGTTCCAAGTATGGTATCGGGCTTATAAAAGTACAATCTTTAATAGTTTGGAACTTTTGGTTTAGAAACAGTTTGGAGGAGGATAATACAATAAATAAAAATTTCACTTTGGTAAAATCGAACATGTTACGTTGTTATGATCAATGAAAATAGTTGAGCAAGACAACAATAATTTTATCTCCATAAATTATTTAGATAAAATACAACATTGAGCATTTCCACTTTGCCAAACATTGATTTTTAATACCATATACTTTATAAATCACTGGCTTTGATAATATAAGCAGCATAACAAAATTTGTTAGTAAATATTATTTCAAGATAAGTGTTTTTAAGGATAAAAACTAGTGAGCTATAAGATCAACAACAAAAAATATTTTTAAACTTTTAATATTTATACATTTAAAAAAACACACAAACACACATACACTTTTCCATGCATGCGAGATACAACTAAAGTTTCAATTATATACTAAAGGTAATCAAAAATGATGAGCACTAATAAACATTTTGGCATCTATTATAATATTAATGTGTACAGGTAAGACAAATCTACAATTATAAATAAAACAAAACGCAAATTCATACACTGTTGTTTCATAATAATTTCTTATACATATAAATATAAATATAATATACTACATTTATTGTATGTACAAAAAAAAAAAAAAAACATTCAAGACATGGTGAAGTTGATGTGTATTGAACATGAATGTCACGCATATACTCTCACGTAAAGGTCAAAAATAATATTATCAATTAAAATTGCACAATATTCATATACTTACATATATGTTTTACTTAAAAATAAAGAATAAAAAGCTACATAATGTTGAATGGTTATTATAACTATATCTTTAAATTTATATTTTTAAAGTTTTTAACATACGACTAGGTCATATAGTAGTAGCTATACAAGTAGAAGATAATGAAAGAGTGAAAAATGTGGCCCGAAAACACATCACAACCATCAAACAGTATGGCAACTTAAAATAATAAAGTATAAGTATTTATCGTACAATATTATATCGAACATATGAATCAAGAGTTCAATAAGGTAGTCTACTTGTTTGGTTTTTTTTCTCTCTCAATAAATTCGATTATAATTATGATTTCTATTCAACACGTCTGGTTATAATAATAATAATAATAATAATAATAATAATATTGTATATCACAACTATAAATTTATCTAATAACAAAATATTAGACCCATTAAATATGAAAATTACATGTTGTATGCTACATAAATAGGGTCCAATTGGTCGGCCAAGAAGCCGTCACGAAGATGCATACGTTGCTTTTCACCGCGAGAATTGATTGGCACCACACCAGGATCAACAACCACGGCAACGCCAACTATCAAATGATGTTCTTCAAGTACCACATTGGTTACTAATGGTACCAAATCAAGCGCTTCACTTTCATTACCATCCAGTTCAACCACGACTACTAGAAGATTAGTCCAAGCAAATACAGCACTAAAATCAAAATATTGTTGAATTGACATTAAATTTATTAGGATTCCAAGTATTTACATTTAAATTCAATAAAGACAACGAAAAAATCTTACCATTCTGCAATCTTACGATGACATCGCATAACACTGTTTTCAATATCAATAGGATGGTAGCGCATGCCTCGTAGGATAATTGTTTCATCCAGTGCACCAACCACAAAAACAGCATCATGAAGTTCTGAATAAATTGTACATTTGAAATTAGAAACTCGATTAAATTCAAAAAAATCAAAATTAAATTAATTTGATTTAAAGGTTATAGATACTTCACAAAATGTATGAAAAATAAATAAAAATAAAAACGTTTTATAAAATATTAACAATCAAGTGAATATTTACAATTTTTAATTAAACATATTGGTTGTTAAAAAAGAATTTGTAAAATAAAATTACTTTAGAAAGATCATTTTATTTAGTTAATTGGGTGAAAAATATAAAACTAAAACAGTTGAAAGTTAAGACATTGATAAAGAGGAGACTTATATAAGAAATTTGAAAAACTTATTAACAAGTATTTCAAGTGAATGATTTCATTAAAAGTCAAATATTTATTACCATGTAAGGCATAAATGATTCAAAAAACAAGATATTTGATATTTAATATGGCATGTAATAGACAAAACATATGTATTTTTGAATATTTTTTTTTTTTTAAGTATTTAACACCTCAAAAGGGTAATGAGTATAGTTTTTAAATTAACAAAAAGTATACAAACAATTTTGAATGATATCATATTAATACATATTTAAAAGAAAAATATAAGTGAATATAATATAAAAGTCGAGTAAATTATTTAATATTCATTATTAGGTTTTTTAAATTAAGTTGAGAATCAAAAAAGAAATCGAAGTTAGGTACATTATTATATGATACTAAAAGGCGGTACTCTGGATTATTTTTAATAATATTTGTCGAGCAATGAGGTACTAAAAAAGGATGATTGTTTTTTGAATTGAAGGTTGAAATTTTAAAATTTATTTTACTTAGAAATTCTGGTGAGGAAAGTTTATCACTTATTAACTTATAGACAAAGTTTACATCGTTAAGTTATCTTCTAGAAACGAAACATACACTCGATTTAGTTTCTGATTTTATACTCAAAAAACGACGTTGGATTTTATCAAGTTTATCAATAAGATTAATTTATTTAGGATTCCAAATGACTGATGCATATTCTAATATTGATCTGACGAGTGAGCAGTATAGTATTTTTAGAAAGTTAGATTTTTTAAATTCGTGACAATTTCGGTTTATAAAATCAATAGCCCTTAGAGCTCTACTAAAATGAAATCAATATGAGCATTAAATGTCAGATCAGAAGACAGCAGAACACCTAAGTCACGTACTATAGATGTATTTTGTACTTCAAGGTTATTTATTTTATATGTGGCTAAGGATTTATTTTTCTGACAATTGAATGAAATATAATTACATTTAGAGGGGTTAACTGAAATTTCGTTTAAATCGACAATAGAATTGACTGAAAGATACATTTTCAGGTCATCGGCAAATAGTAGATATTTACAAAATTTAAAAGAAGAACCTACATCGTTTATAAATATAATGAATAAAAGAGGGGATGGGTGACCACCTTGAGATAAACCAGATGTTACAGTATTATTTGAGGATAAAAGACCATTTATATTAACATATTATGATTTATTAGATAAATGTGATGAGAGCCATGATAGTAGAGGGTAACCTATACCAAGTTTTTTTATTTTCAAAATCAATATGTTATGATCAACTGAATCAAAAGCCTTTTTTTGATCAGTTTAAATTGCGTCAACACGGCCACTTGATTTAACAATGTCGATTAAAAAAGAATAGTAAGTTATTAAATTAGTTTCCGTTGATTTCAGTTTTCAAAAACTATATTGCTCACCAACTAAAGTATATTTAAAAGGTTCATATAATTTTGGTTCTATAAGTTTTTCTAGAGTTTTTCGGTGTAAAGTACTTAGTTTTGATATGGGACAATAATTATCTATGTCAGATTTGTTACCGAATTTTCATAAACTAGATTTCCATTTACTAGGGAAGACTCCAGTGTAAAAATATAAGGTGAATAAACAGTGGATATGAGTAGTAAGAGAATATCGACACATATGTAAAAATAGGGGTGGTATTAGGTCTGGACCTGAAATAGGGTCAAATCCTATATTCGAAAGTGCCTCAAATCGATAAAGTAAAATTAGAAATATCTACTATTTCGTTCAAATTTTGAAAAATATTACTATCGACAACTTTTGGTATGTTAAAGATAGACGAAAAGAATTCGGCAAATAGATTAGCAGAACTTGTTGGATTATCAGAGTACTTATTTTCTAAACGCATTACTGTAGGTAAATTGTTATCTTTTTTAAACTTTTTGATAAATTTCCAAAAAAATGTGGGTTTGAGGATAAATATTCTGTTATTATTATTATAAGTCCATAATTATTATTAGAACTACTATTAGCATATACCTGGCATATCAACAGGAACTGCTGCATTGCTACTTAGAGTGGACTGGTTAGATGATGCAAGGGATAAATCACTGAGAGACATTATATCAATGGTATCTGTTGAATGTAATGCTACACTTGATGGAGTTGATGTCGATTCCGTGCGTCTTAAAAATCCCAGATATCCGGTTCTAGCATAAACTTCACCGGTGCTTCCAGTAACTAATCGCGCATTAAACTGTTCTGATCCATTACCGCCATCTGATATTTCATTGCCAAATACGCTGTAGTATCCACTAGCGTTATGCGGTGCTTGTACCCAAATTTCACCAAGATGCGAATCACCACAATGTCCTTTAGTATCCGGATGGGCAATAATAACTTTAACTCCTGGTAATAATTTTCCAGACTCGAGCAAACATAATGAATGCGGACTACCACGTTCGACTAGAGACACTCGATCATTTCTTAAAGCTCGTAAGTCTACATACACACAAGACGGTTCTGGACTAGATGCTCCCTGCAGACATATGGCTACATTTACACGGCATCCAAAGCTGGTAGACACAGCTCGTGGACTGAGTCCAAGAGCAGAGAATAGTTTTGAGAATGATGTTGTTAGATTTATTCTAGGTCTTTCTTCGGCAACCACAACACATGTCCGTACACATGCTAAATTGACACCTCGTTGTTTTAAAAGCCCTACAGACGAAGCCAAACCTTTGGTGCATAATTCCATGACACCTATAGTTAAATAAAAAATATTAAAACAACTAAGAAATTGAATCACTCACGTAACAAAGAACAAAAATGTATTACTTACCGTAAGAGCAAAACGTGTCTCGTACTTGGTATTGACTGACAGCCGTTAGCCATAAGCCTGGGTTAATTTCAATTTCCGATGGAGGTATAAGAATTGAATGATGACCAGAATATACACTAAAATAATTTTAAAAATAGTTGACATTAAGTACAAAAAATACATTAATATGTAGAAAATAATCAACTTACCTGCTTAAACACCACAAAGCAAAGCCTAAACCGCAATAAGGATCTAAGCATAATGCAATATGTCTAGACGGATAAAGTTCACAAGCTAGTTTCATAGATCTGCATAACGATGTGACAGCCGCATGAGACATTTTTATGCCAGCTAACATCCCAGTAGTAGAAACACTATATAAATCAAAATTATTAGAAATATAAATAATATGTTTTAATATTTATTTTTTTTATAATATACCTGAAGTCTAAGTAAGCAAGAAGTTCTGCAGTAGGTGCTCGGTAAGTGGGTACAATTTTTTTTTTTGGCATATCATCAGTGTCCAAGATTGTTGGCCACGATTTCACATCAACTACGTTGCTAGCTTCTTTAGATTTAAGAAGTTTTATGACATTTTGACTGGATAAGACTAAAGTAGATTTGCTTACATCTACAATCATTCGCACCGTTGGTAGAGTAGTTTGAAGATTTTGTGGATGAGGAGGTCGTATTGTAACAGGTACAGCACCTAGAGTATAAATATATATACATTATATCACCCAATGTATAAAATTATTATTTTTAATTTTAAACTTACCAACATACAAACACCCATAAAATGCACATATGAGATCAATTCCTGGAGGAAAGATGAGTGCAACATGATCACCAGTGTTTACTTTAGCTCGTTCATTTAACAAGTTAGAAACTTTCTCTGCTCGCTTATGTAATTGCGAACAAGTTAATGTGGCTGCTGCACCACCTTTTGCATTCACCAATGTAAATATAACATGGTCTGGGTCTCGGATAGCTCGCATTTTCAATATTTCTGATATGAAAAGATACTGAAAAAAATAAAACCAAAAGACTTATTAATAATGTATTTATGGTTAACATAAGACATTACGTTGACTCTTACGGTCTTATTTGAATCTGATTCCATATCGATGATACCAATATCTCGTCCTTGTGCAGTTGCTAAGCGATTGCCTTGCACTATGGTTCCAACCATGACTGAAGCCGGTCCCACGTCTGAAACAGTGCCGCCGACTAGGCAAAATTATATGAAAACTTCATTTATAACTTCCATCCGAATTCCCCCAAAAGACAGACGAAAATGTTAAAAATAGATACCTGAATGCACTTCTCGTGGTTTTGGCAAATTGGTAACGCAGGTATGAGGACACATCAGTACATTAGCTGGGTGCAGGTTTCCATCTAAAAATCTTCTTTTGCACTCGGACAAGTGAATTCCACCCAACGGTGTTTTGGGAAGATAATTGGGCGGCACCAAGGCTAAGCAGTATAGCCCAACTTGGTGAATGGAATCTACTGCTTGAAGGACCCTGGACATCCACTGAAAGCTTTCTTCTTCGCTGCATTCAGGTCGCTGTTCAGCAATCACACATATGCGCTCGTCTCGAAGAACTCGTATGGCGAACACAGCAATTCTTCCTCTGTATATGAATTTCATAGGTTCCACGGCTAAGACTGTGGCAATTATGTCGTCAGCGTTATGTTTACGTCCAGTGACGGTCATGAGACCGTCTCGGGACCCACACACGAATACTAGCCCTCCCGGTCCGAGGAATCCAAGAAGCCCAGACCTTGTGTACTCGATCGTATCATTTGTGGGTTTGCCATCTTCTCCAATAGGTGCGACTCGGAATGTTGCATTCGATAGACCGGGGAGACCCCAATAATTACAGGTAGTCGTGCCGAGACCACCCATACAGATTTCTCCGACCTCGTCAGTTTTGCACATGTAAGGTATGCCGTCCATTTTAACCACTACCATAGAACAATTTGGCATAACTTGGCCGCAGTCTTGAAGAGTTAATGAAGTAAGAGAGTTTTCTTGGTCCACACGTACAACACCATAACTTAAGCCGGACATCGACAAGACACCACGTCCAGTCGCATTTACCCCGGCTCGGCCAGGTCTAGAAGAGTTAAATGGTAATGTGAAGTTTAAAAAATTAATTTAATATGTTAAAACGTGTATATTACCTCCGAACGGAAACTGTTAGACATTCACTAGACGAAGCACATGGACATAAAGCATCTGGCCGTAATCCTTTGGATTGGAAAACGGCTAAGAATTGATCGCAAGACGACAGAGACCACGGGTTGGCTCCGTCTCCGACCAAAAGTAATCTTAATGAACTGAGTATGATTTCTTTATGATCTTTAGTCGCTAAGAGACCCCAATGCAAGTCTCGAGACTTGACAACTGCTACACTTGCTGTGATAATATTTATGACGTTAATTTTAATGCAAATAAAAAAAAATAAGAGTAATACAATAATAATAATAATATATACCTCGATATTTAGTTATCATTTGCATCCATGACGCTGGGTTGACTTTCATCAAAGCGTATGGAATATATATGACATGCATCCCATTTAAAATAGACGTTAAAACTGAATGCCATAGGCCAGTCTCACGTTTGAAATCGAGAACGCATACCATGGTGTCACCCTCTGTATAGTTACAAGCTTGAGTCAAAGCGCGACACTGGTTTAACATGGCTGTGCGACTAACGCTAACACCCATCACAGAACCGTCTTTATCAGTTGTATATTCTATGTAAGAAGGAGTGTCTTCACCGATGTGAGGTGGTGGACACCAGTCTTTTGGAGTCTTGGGTAGATGTTCGGTAACAAACCAGTGCAGTTTTGGCCAGCCCTTAAACGCTACGACCTCGCCAGTAGCTGTTTTCGGTAAACCTTTTAAGCAGACTTCCGAAGTCAGGGCTACTTGGACGCCACAGCTACCAAGTAGAAATCCTATTTGCTGCGACCCTGCATCCCGGCGAGTTAATGGCACTTCAATGGGCACAGGAACAATGCCCGCAAAAATGCATCCATAGAAAGAACAAAGAAAGTTTAGCGGGTCGCTATTTGGATAGACTAGAGCCACACGGTCACCATGCTTCAAGCACTCTCCACCACCATTACCTTTGACTAGTGGACGGTTTAGGAGCGTATAGGCTACTTTGTGAGATCTGCTAAGGAGCTTACCTAAAACAGTAACAAATTACTAATATACATACGCGGTCAACATTATTTCAATAAAAACTGAATTTTATACCGTAAGTAAGTGTTATGCTTAATTTTCCATTTGGATCCAATACTGTAGCAACGGGTGCTTTAAAAGTACTCGAACCGTAACGTTGCAGTGCGGCTTCCAAATTACGCGGAAGCCCCGATGGTACCTGTGGAAAAATAGAAATAAGACTGATGATTGCGGGAGGTGTAAAGACGTGTATTCCAACTCACGGATAATGGTTCACCCAATGCCGGAGACATGAACGCGCCCTCGGGTCGGGGTGCGTTGGGATCTTTAGGATTAGCTGCTATCTCAAGTTCTACATCATCGTCTTCGTAGAATTCAGGCAATGGTCGCCGTTTCGGCCGTTTTAGAGTGTTCAACAACTGTTGTATCTTAGCCGATACTTTCCAACGACCGCTGCTGGATACTGTGCCCATTCCATCATCGCTGGACGACTGTCTGGAATCTCTACTGTACCGATTAACACGATCGGCAGGAGTGTATCTCCTGGACTGCGTAACGTTATTTGTCACGTCCGGTGGTTGAGGGTCTAAAATAAGGATTTTTATAATATACCAAAAAAAAATATATTTGTATGTATATAATATAATCATAACATAAGCATTTAATAAATATAAATATAATAATTATTAATCATTATAATTGGGCTCGCATGTTTATGCACTATAAATGACCAAATATGCGTATCATAAAACCCAAACTATAATGCATACAATTTATTTTACTTTTAGTATTAAAAATATATTATAATTTATAAGTATTTAATTTTTATTTAACATAATATATTTATTTACACTGTGGTATAATGTTTTTTAAATTTGATCAAACTTTAATCTAAAATCATTTGGGACAAACACAATTATACGAATCGTAGTTATCATTTATCTATGCGTTAATTTTGTTTTTAAAAAAATTCGAAAATGTATTGAACTATGCATTTATATTCTTAAAATCCCAAAAATATACGTTTAAAATATAAAACCATAAATTATGGAGGAAAAATAGTATTATTTGATTAAGTACAATATGAATCAAATTTGTATCCAGGTCCGCATTAAATTAGATCAATAGAAAAAAAAATATTCAATATCATAAATATCCGAGACCTAGTGATTTTAAAATCGGTATACCAATCGTGGTTTAAACTTACAAGGAGGTCGAACGTTGTGCAATATGTCAGCCACTTCAGTCACTTCGGGCTTGTTGCGTTTGATTTTTTCTGGCTCCTTGGGAGGAGGTTCGATAATCGTTCTTGACTCTTCCCAGTAACTGGGGCCATTGTTTCCAGAAACTCCACCACCGGGCGCACCGTTAGGAATCCTAAAGTCAACAAAATGATGAGTTGTTTAAATAGAGATCACGAGTTGGCTAATGCGTACTACAACTGAATACGTACTTTGTGTGATGATGGTGGTGATGATGCCGATGTTGTTGCTGTTGTAATTGTTGCTGCATCGACTGTGGTGGTTGTTGTGATGCGTGAGCGGTGGTCTTGGAATGAGGCGGGGTGTCTCTGGCCGACCCGCCGGTACTGCTAGTGTCGGCTCCGCTACTTCGTTCACCACGACCGGCACTGCCACGGTCTTTGACTTCTCTGTCAGGGATTTGGTCGCCAACACTGTCGTCGTCCGAGCTCGAATCTGAAAACAATATACAAAACGACGGTTGTGATGAATTCGTAGTAGAATGCGACTGTAGTCACTATTGTAACAGTTTTAGATTTAGCGGGGAAAAGGGCATTGTAAAGCATGTGGCTTTAAACTATAAGGAGCTTATAAAAGCAAAATCTCAAATTGAAATGGAAAATAAAATGGTCCGTTTCATATTTTTTTAATGTTTTGCCTTTTTGTGTCCTTTTTATATTTATTTGTTGTATTTCATTCAACAACTTTTAAAAATGAATTTATAAATGGAAATTTCGAAACGTATATTTGAATATGGTGCACAAAAATGAAAAAAAGAAGCTACTTTTACAAGAAAATGTTTATTTTAAGGGACTTCCACTTGGTATTTTCATCCCAGCCTCCTAAGATTTAGATCCGGCACTAGTTGTTAGTTATTGACCATATATTTCGGAAAGTCAGCGAGTTAAGACTGTTGTGTCTAAACGTACAACCATCAGTTCGAACCCGGTCACCGGCGATTTTGCTGTCTGGACGAAACGGCCGTCCGGAAAGAAGAAACCTCCAAGTCCTCCTCCCAACCAAAGCATATCACACAAACCAAATAACACGAAATTACCATAGAACCGTAATAAAATCATTCAACATCCAAAAATTACTGAAATTGACGCAGATTCATAAAAATAATAATAATAAAATATATTCACCGCTGTCGTTATGAGTGGCAGCCAATCGATCAGGACTTCTTGCCATTACTGAGGTGCGTTTACTTGGCATTGGCAATGATGGCTTCGGCCTGGACTGCATAGCGGCTAGAGCTTGTTGAACGGCTTCTTGTCGCACTTCTAAAATAGGTCAACACATTAATTATTACTATCTCAAATCCGTTTCAGACTACTCCAGAAATGGTACATTTAAAAACCGATTATATGATATGCGTGATAAAAATGATCTATCTACAGCAAACAGTATAGGTCAAGTACTGGTGACGTTATCAAATGAAGCCCGCAAATCTACTAAACGCCATAAAAAAAAAAAAAAAAAAAAAAAAGCGTAATAAAAAGCAATTAACCAAACACACACATTTATCTATTTGTTTCCTAAATCTTAAAAACAATCTAAACAACCATCTAAATTGTACATAACCAATAAGATAAAACGAAACAATATTAAAAATGTATTAACTGTAACGTCAATACGAGTATAAGTCATTAAAAGGTTTAATGTGTCCCAGTATCGACTAATCGTTTATTAATTTTTCTGTTTCAAATTTATGCGTTTGGAAAAAAATCACCGAGTAATTTGCACAAACATGTCGATACGAAAGACTATAATAGAATAAGTAATTAAAATGTTTAAAACTATTACTATTTAAGTACATAATAAATCGTTAAAGAATTTTACAAAGTCAAAATTTTCTATTTACAATAGTTATATATATTATTATTACTATTGTACATTATATTTATGTACAATTTTAATTAAATATTAATTCCATACTTGATATGACAATAAAAAAAGACCTTAATAGACGTGATAAAAACAAATATAATTAGATCCTTCTTACCGGGAGAACAATATAACATAATACACCTAAATAGATGAAATAGGTAAAATCGATTGATTACAAATATAATAAATTAATTTTATTGATACGTAATTATATACGAATAAAAGACTAATTACGAAGTAGGAATATGAAAGCACAGAACAAATAATATCGTAACATGGGACTTTATGCATTTGCATATTTGTTTGGGAAATAAATATAATAAATATGATATGGTACAAATTTGTATTATGATGTTTGGAGTTGAATTTTAAAAGTTTATTGTGAATATTTTTGCATATTTTAAAATAATTGTTGATTATTTACTTGTAAATCAAAAATATAAATGTAAAATTTTCATTTTTGACACGTTATAAAAATTATTTATTTATTTTATTTTATTTATTTGTCTTTCAAAGTATTATTTTGTTTGTCAGTACTCAGTAATCGACGAACCACGGACGACGATCGTTTTCTTGTTAATGCGTTACTGCGTATTTTGTCGTGTTTGTCTTCGCGTTCGTATTTGTTTTCGTGGCTTTTGTCTGTTAATTTATTAGTGCTCGTATTCGTGGTATAATTTTCTTAAATTAATAAATAAATATATCAAAAGAAAAAAAAAATCACAAATTAGTTGCTTGAGAGGTTTCATTTCGGAATTTGGTAGTAGTAGTAGTAGTAGTAGTAGTAGTAGTAGTAGATATGTGCAAGATATGTTTTTTTTTTTTTAATTAAATTTGTATTAGTACGTCTTTTTTAATTAAAAATGAATGCATATTTAAGCGAATATATTTATATTTTTTGGTGCATATGTATGCGTTTATTTTTAAGATTTTAAGCACATAAAGTCTCGAGCCCTGATCATAACGTTTAACATTTTTTTCTCGTTATTTAGCATTCAATGTTATGCATAAAAACTTAGTGTTATCTACGCAATGTTTTATAACATCTGTATGTAACAAGCGTTTGAACGTATGTTCATTAACACATACTGTATAGTTGGCAAATATTAATTTAATCATTAATTTTAATTTAATTTCAATATTTCAATCGTTGTATATATGTTTCTAATCTCGCATCTTATAATTAAAATATATTGTTTTGTTTTTAATTAATCATCTAGACACAATAATAATAACGAGAAATTTAAATTAAATATACGTGCATGTGATAAATATATTTATGTATAATGATCGGTTGATATAAATATAATCTCTCAAATTGATACTTAACTTTAATATTAAAAACCTATAACAACGCGTGACGCGCGTAATACGTTAGTAATTGACATTATTCCAAAATTATTTATGACTAGGCATAATATACATAATAATATCGCATGAGATATGTAATTCAAAATTATAATGTAAATGTAAAACAAGAGAAAAATATTATCATCTAGGAGCAGAAGACAAGAACGTGTTCTATATAGCATTGATACGGAATTAAAAAAATATATATATATTACAGCATAGCAGCTCAATAAAGTAAAAAAAAAAGTTCAGGATAAATAGAACATGAAATATATTATATGCGTTTAGTAAATTGGAATTGATGTGCGTGGTAAAGACGAGTTTTATTTACTCTAGGAGTCTTAAGTATTTATAACTATAATAAGAATAAAGTATAATACCTTATTGTAACATATTATACGATTCAAGCCATATATAATATTGAATATATATGTTACCGGAAAAGATGACAATCAGTCCTTGTTGACAATGACTAGTCAATAACGATAATGCCTGATTTAGTAAGGAATTAATGTCAATACCTAGTCATTGATAACAATTCCTAATAAAAGAAGGCATTGATAATAACATTAAAAATGAATTTAATATATTTTAATACTTATTAGCTATTTAGGATAAATCATAATCTTAATCTTTATTGTTACGTGGTAAATTACTATGACACTTGGAATTATATAATCTAGTACAGCAGTACCCAAACTGTACTCCGTAATGGTTTGCCTAGGGCTCCGTTCGTAACACCACAAAAAATTTAAAAAAATGTTCGTCATTTAAAATTAATATACATTTCATGAAGACTTGAAAGTTCCATAATCAGATCGATCACCGATAAAGCGGTGTTAATATTTGTTTGAATGCAGATTTATAACATTGCCTAATATAATACGGAAATTTTGATAAAACTACGAAATTTCCAACATTGTCTAACCTTTCCAGTCATTGTCAACAATGACTAGGATATACTGACAATTCCTGAATTTTCATTTTTTCCGGTAACATATACATGCCGTTATCAATTATATATGAAAATTTTAAATGAAAAATTTAGATCTTGAAATTAATGAACTTTATGCAGTAAACGTTAAGCGCAGGTAATATTATGATACCATAATAAATACGAGCATTACATGACAATACATACCAATTATTATTAAAATATTAAAATATTATTTAAATTATTCACAATAAACGACATAACAGAAGTATTCTATTAAAAAATATTCCAGTTCAACCTATACTGCTTTTCTAAAGTACATTTTACCTGTCGTCTGCAGAGAGAAGGTAATGGTAAAGGACATTCGCCCATTGTAAATACATACATACATTTTTTAAATTATTAAACTGGATAAACTAAAATAAGAAACTATATGTATTTAATATTATATAATGAGACAGCGTTTGTTTATTTGTTTGTAAAAATCTCAAAAGCTACTCGACCGATTTTGATAAAATTCGGGACAGAGATAGATTAAACCTCAGTGAAGGACAAAGGCTATTTTTTGTGGCGAAAAAAAGGAAAGGAAGTATCAATACACCTGACAAGGCCTAAACGAGCAGTTGTTGCTTTGCTGTTACTATAACAACCAAGAAAACGAAAAGGAACCACAATGTCACATACCTCAACGGTGTGCACATAAAAAATGGTGAACATGTCTATTTCACTTCAAATAATTACCGTGAGCAACGCTCACCATTTTTTTTTTTTATTCTTGCTTTTCGCGTGGACAGCTGTTTAAGTTCTGTAGTCTGTTTAAGTATCGGAAAACCCTTTGATTTATTTTGGTACGAGCCAGAAAGAAAATAAAAAATATTGTGTATCAAAATGCACTTCAATAAATAGCATTCAATCGAAAACTTGAACTTTATCGATAAAACGAATAAAATATAGAATATAAAATATAAATATATAATAAATTGAATATTGTTATAACGATATTAGTATCTCTTTAAATTTAGTAAACGACACAACAAGGCGCGACGAATGTGGATATATTATATATTTACTCATAATAATATATAACAAATTATTATTTTTACTTCGGCCGATTTACACTAAAAAAGGCAAAGCTTCTACAGCTAGTAACACCCAAAAGGAGTATAAAACACTCACAATTTCTTACCAGGCGACGCCAGGTAATTTATCTATAAACAAATAAAAATATATTTAAATAAAATACAAATACCATTTACTCATAGGTCATTGTTATATCTCAAAAACAATAAAATGGTTTATAAAAATAGGTTTTAAATAGTGTAAGGTAACCCATTAAAAACATATTCCCGGCTATGACATCCATGTAAAACCGGGTAAGTTAGCTAGAATTACTATAGCTACCTACTATCAAGAACAAATAAATCGGCAAATCAGTTTATTCTAATATTAGATGGTTTAAAAAAAAAATTGTTATTTACTCTGAAGTTCTTTAAAATAAATACCAAAAAAAATATCATACTACCTACATGCACTAATGGCACACTACATGTTCTATTAAATTATAACGCGGGAGAGGTTGCGACGGGGGATGCTAGTGTGTGTATTTATATATGTTGCATTTAGATAAAATAGAGATGTAAAATAAATAAAATCTCATATCTATTTTTTTGTAATCATTAATTCATCGTAGATAGTAATTTGATGATTGTTAGAAAAATGAAAAAAACCTCATTTTTAATTAATAATTTAGGTTTTCTTTCAGTGGGTAATTATGATTATATGATTACCTACGTTATTATAAACTATATGTTAACTATATGTATAACTGTATGAATGTAAAGTAAAAAAAAAAAAAAATAAAAATACATACCTGGTGAAGTTGGTCATTCGACTACCGGGGTTTTTTTTTTTTACATAACCGATAAAGGGTGCGATGAGATTAATGGTTTTAAATATTATGTGATTATTAATTGCATGAAACATTTTATAAGTATTACCTTTCTTAATAATAATAAATGTAGTCAATTTGCACCAAAATTTACCCAAAATATTTACAACATGTGTAATTTACATCAAAATGCATTAAATGCGATTGTAATTTGGCCCAAA